CAATCATACCATCCATGTCATTTCTCTTCACATTCTTTAATTTATTTCTGTAATCTTTCATCATGACCAGTTTGTGCAATGAGTCAACATCCAGGATTCCATCTCTTTGTTGCTTATTCCAAAAGATATTACTTATCTTTCTTCTCAGCCTGTAAATCAGAAAGTGTTTGGAGTCAGCATTGGCTCCAATTGGCTCCACAATAATTGCGGGCATTCAAAAGACACTTTCAGTGCCTAAGATCCACCAGGAAATGATCAGTGTGATTCAATACTTTTCTATCTGGGGAGCATTATGTGACTTTATGTATATTTCTACATTCAAAGAAGATACTTCCTATAATAAGTTCATTTGCATGTGCCAAATCATTAAGTCTTAATCATTATCACTACTTTCCTCATGTAAACTGCGATTACCTGCATAGTTCCCAACTAATCTCATGCCAATCTTTGCACTAAAGTCTCTCCAATAATCGTTTTTTTATCATTTGAGGGGCATCTGTGAGAAGAGTATTTAAGTTTATCATAAAACTCATCCTTAATAATAATCCTAACTCATCCTTAATTGCATTTGTCCTCAGTAGGTGGCATACATGCTGATAATACTAATATTTTGAGGACAAGCTCGAATCTACAAAAGAGTATTTTTATTTTTTATCTGTCTCATTGTTGATTGTTAAACTTTTATTTTTAACTTTCAGTGTCTGTTAACCCTTAAACACAGAGGTGAGATCTTTATGACCGCACCAATATTTTAGAACTGCGAAACTGAGTATAAGTTATACAGCTATTCTCTCCTTTTCAGTACTTTCAAGTTTATATAAAATACAACTATTCCTAAATTTTTATTAAATTGTATCCATTAGGTTTTTTAAAAATAGTGGTACTATTCGGTTTTGAAGGCCATAAAAAATCGCCAAACTATTGTTGATGCCAATGCTGCCAAAAATAATTGCAGCAACCCTAACGCAAGAAAGGAAGTATAATAGTAAATAACTAAGATTGATGTTTTAATTTAGATGAAAGGTTAATTTCATATAATACTCTTTTATTATTATAATTTATATAAAAAAAGGTAAAAGATGACTGAATGGGAAGCATAAGAGTAAATAACTATTTCAGATCATTATTATAATTTATATAAAAATTGTTAAACATAACTGAATGGATGCCTGTATCGCTATTTCGCAACCAAGTTATCACTAAAGCACAATTTCATCTCGTTGGTTGTCCCAAACATAATTTTCTATAATGAATGATTCCTTTTCTTTGAAAAAATTCTCGGTAAAGTGCAGAATCGCCCACTTATTTGTTTGCCCGCTTTTTACAGGGGTAAAAACAATTGCATTTTTGTCAATTTTCTTTTACTTTTTAAGGGAAAATAAGTCTATGTGTACATAGATAAAGTCAAGGGTGTGCACAGTGCCATTTTTGTGCAATTTTGGGATTTTTTTTAAAGTGAAAATAGATGGATGTGCACATGGATACCGAGTATGTTCAATTCTTAAAAACACATCAAGTAGTGGGTGATTCTGCACTTTACCTAAAATTCTATTGCAGACTTTTCGTCATGGGCAATTCCCAAATTGTGAAATCCATAGGCTTTATTACTACTTGAGTGTAGAACATGTACAAGAACTTAACTCTAGAGGTTTGACATATGTCGATACTATGGTGGTTTTTTCCAGGTGAATTTTTTCTAAATAAAATGAAAAGTGAAGAATCTTCTTTTTATGCATTCACAGATAGAATGACTCTTGTTTCATATGTGCCTCAAAAATTAAAAAGTGTTATTCTTATATTTTCAATGCATCATTCAAAATAAGAATACCTTGAAACTGAGAAACCAGAAATAATAACATTTTACTATGTGACTAAAAAAGATGCATTGGATGAAAAATGTTCTAAACATTCTACAAGCCGAAGAACGAGGCGATGGCCGATGGCCATATTCTTTACATTACTTGAAGTGGAATTAATGCACATGTAATACATCAATTGTGAGATAGTGCCAAATTGGAAAAAAGAGTTTTTGATGGAGTTATCAGAATTAGTGAAACCATATATGGAACGGAGGCTTCAAGAGCCATCTGTGAATCGAAAAATAAGCGATCTAGCGGAAAATCCAGCGGAATCTATTCTAGCCCAGATGTAACTAATATCCCTAAAAAGCATAAAACATGCTTTTTTTTGTCCTCCCTAAAATAAGAAGAAAAACTACCTATCTATGTTTCAGCTTCAAGAATCCGATATGTAACGAATGTGCCAAGAGAATTTGCAAAAACTGTGTTGAAAATGCTTAAACTAATGTACTGCAGTTTTTTTAATGTTATTTATATATTATACTTTTTTTGTATTATTTTATATAATCCAGATTGTGTAGATGGGAAATTAATTAAATAGTATAGTTTGTATGCATTTGCGAGTAAGTAGTGTTTATTTTATTTATTTGATCAAGTGTTCCATAATTTTTTTGTATGCGATTTAAAAATTAATCTTAATGAATTAATTTTAAGGTTTTAAAAAGAATTAGTTCATTCAGTATAATAAACAGAGTGTATTAGGCTTTTATAATAACAATAGTACATTATTTTAAAATGCACAAAATAGAGTGCAGTCTGAGAGACCCCTCTTTTGTGTTTCTGTAAACAGAAAATGAACGTCTGTGCTTAAGGGTTCAAAAGGGCAGCGACCAACAGAATTATCTCTTAAATGAAGGTGTCACTTACAAGAGGTACTACTGTATTTAGATTTTATTTAAGCTGTTTTTTATATTTAGTTCCTTCTTTTATTATTTTTTCTGTTTTATTTATTGCAAATTATCAGATCAGATTCACTTTTTTGTGCTCTTTGAGGTAATAGATTTCAGTCAGTACTAATATTCTTTTGTTCGATATAAATATAAGGATCATTAAAAGTTTATTGACATTTGTTGTTTTATGCAGTGCTTGGAATTGGGATTTTATCATTTAAAAAAACCTAAATATGTAAAGAAAACTTTGCAGGCTCAAAATTAAAAAAGAGCAGAAAAACCCAAAGAAAATATTTAATGACTTTATTTATGAAAGGTTCATTAAATAAGTGGGACTTTGTGTTCATAAACATTAGATATATCTCGTTAAAAGAATTATAAATTTAAATTTCAAGCTCATTATTAATATGGAATTCTTGTTGCATTTTTTATCAGTTTTGATAAAATCTCAGTTTGATAAAACAATTGATAATTTTTTATCAGTTTTGATAAAACCTTTATTCTGAGGCCTGATACTAATCTAAGTTGATAGGTAATAAAATTATATTGGAATAATAAAAAATGCGGTACTTTTCTGTTTTGCCGGCGCAAATCTCGCTAAGCAGACTATATTGGCGACACAATACAGTATACACATAAAAAATGTTAACAAATGTTAAATCTAAGAATTTTTTATCTTAAAGACATAAACATTTTAATATTGTTCAAAATTTTAGAAAAAGCCAATAAATAAAGACAATAAATTTGTAGAAAGACATTAATTTAAGAATTTACTATGCTTTCATGGTTCAACATCCTGATTCGCCGTTTCATATCACGTGACCCCAAGTGATTTCATCTCACGTAAACTACGCCATAAAAATCTAATTCTCTCAGTAATTATGTACATTAATTTCAAGTTAAATTTTAATTTGGAATACAAGTTTAAAATGCAAGAATTATTTCAATTCGTATGAATAGCTTACTCAGAAATTATGTAAAACCACAGTGCTTTACTTCGCTAGTGCATTCTCATTAGAATTGATGAATTTAACGCTTTTCTATATTTTGGCCTTCGGGTGAGCGGTGTGATTGCATCCTAATTGACTTAATCACCGAGAATGTCCTTAGGACATAAAATTGAGCTATCTGGTAAAAATTCTAAGTAATTTTAAGTACATAGAAGCTATTAGAAAAGTACCTATTATTCTATTTTCGTTTTTCACATACAGATTTTTATTTGTTTCAGATATCAGAATGATCATTTCAATGTGCAAATAATTTTTACTTTTATAGATGACCTTATCAAGGAACTCACTTATTATCGCATAAAATCTAAAAATGCGCATTTAGGATATTTGTTTTATGTTTTTTACTCATGCTCCTTAGATAAAAAGGTACTTTTTCGTTTCGCCGTTGCGTATGGCCTTAGGGCATAAAATTGAGCTATCTTGAAAAAATTCTGTGTAATTTCGTGCCAGTATTGAAAGCAACAATCAATCAAATTAGAAATGGCTGCAATTTGTTTTGAAAATGAGGCGTAAAAGGTTACCATAGAGGATATTCCATTTTGCATCAGTTGCACCACTATTGGCGACTTTATTGCCTGCGCCGGCAATATGGAAGAGTACCAAAAATGCTATCAAATTGCTATAATTTAATTATAAAATAAACAGCTTTTTCCATATATGCATATATATTCCAAAACAGAATATACCAAAATATTTAAAATCTTTTTTGGACATTAAAAAGTACTTAAGAGTAGTTAGATTTTAGCTGGAAAATTCTTTAAAATATTACTGAAAACTTAATAGCATGTAGATATTTTGTTTTTGATAAGGTGCTTAAATTTATCATGGTTTTAATTTTATAATTTTTATTCTGTTTTCTTTATAAAGCATATTTATTTCCGGTGTTCAGAACGTATTAGGTGAATATTGAAAAGAAAAAAAAAAAAAAAAAAAAACTACTATTGTATATTGAGCTTTTTATAATGTCTAGTAAAGATTAGTTTACTTTGTTATAAATGTGTATTATCAGCTTCCTTTCAAATTAAACAATAATAAAACTGTGTAAATACATTATTTTCTAATTATGTGCTTTCCTGTTCTAATTTTATTTATTGCATGTGTTAATCACTTGAGCTTTCAACCAATTAGTTGATAATTAATTAAATCAAATATTTAATTCACTGCCATTTAATAATTCGACTTAAAAATGAGCATGCTTTAATGCTTTTTTTAATATGTATGGTGCTTATGTGTTGTTTCAGTTATTTGTGAGTAACCAGCTTACAACAGTTAGCTGCCCCACATCAATTGATGACAAAAAATATGTAAGATTTTTTTTAAATCACTTGCACTTTTCATATTTTTAGTTTATTCTTTTTTCATTATTTTGGCATCCCCTCCCCTTTTTATATCAAATTTTGTTTTGCATCTTTTTAGAAATGCTGCAACCAAAATGCTATGAATATTTTGTTAATTTTTTAAAGATTTTTGACATTTTTTATACCTTTCAGAATACACAAGTAATCACTATTATTTATTTGTGTACCATAATTTAAATTTTAATCACTGTGAAAAGCTTCAGGTGTATGGCTTTCAAGATTAATGAATTTTTCATCATGGTGCCTAGTGCCATCATGGTGCCATATTGTAGAAGAGAACTGTAAAAAAAGGGGAAAAAAAAGATATTCATGATATTTATTCGATAAATTGAAATTTTTTATTGTATTAAAATTGTTGAACTGTAACTTCCTTAATGACTTTATATTTTATTGTATGAAAATTTAATTACTTTATCATAAGGCTGGTTTTCTGCTATTAAAAAAAATGTTTATTTAGTGGCGAAAAGAACTCGTTGAAACTTGCAAGAATTGGCAGAAATTAATAAAAGTGTTTAAAATGCTTTATAAATTATTATTACTTATTCATTCATTGAATTATTTTAATAAATGAAAAGAGTTTATTGTTTAGTGTAATATATAGTATAATAACAAAAAGCAATTTGATATTACTTTAATCAGCATGCAATTCTTATAATTGGAAAAGTATAAAATTTTCAATATCATTTATTTTTTCCATCATAGCTGTAAAAATATGTACTTAAAATCAATAAATAATATTAATAATAAATAAAAATGAATCCATTCTGGCCTCTGACAAGACAAAGTAAGCAGTTGCCTACAGTGTAAATTTTTAGAGGACACCAGGTAAATTTTTCTTATGAGAAACTAAGGTGTCTTTCACTTTGAATTAATAAGTTACATAGATTGCCAAATATAATGTCAGCTAGGATACCAAAAAATTTGGACTCTCTTATGAATATCTTCTAATTGTGACAGTCAGAGTAGCTGTGTTATTGAAGCCAGTGAACTCAATAGCTCCCTAAAATAAGGAATAAAAAGATTATAAAGACACCCTTTTTGGCAGCTTATCTTCAAAAGTAGTTTTGCGTGTAAGAAAATAGTTTGTTAAAAAAAAAAAAAAATGTGTAATTTGCTGATATGGGTGAATGCTATTATTTTTTTTAAAGGTGATTATGCCAGTAAATGAATAAGGGGTTTTATGTACAGAAAGTTAATAAAAAGTATATAATAAAATTCATTAGCTTTTTAATTATTAAATAAGAAACTAATAAATTATTAATGGTGAACCCAGTAGAATGAAAGAATATTATGGTTTGACCATCTTAACACAACCTTGGCTGGCATTCTGCCAAAACACATAGAATTGTCTAAAAGTAGTGCTGGTTACGTGTCACAAGGTGGGAGGTAACGTGAAAGTTCTCTTTTCGTCCGAAAAAAAGGAATTTATATGACCAAGGGAGGGAAAATCCCCATGTCATCGGATGATGCTGTTGTCAGTCGTCTTTCGCACCTTCAGTTTCGTTTTTTCCTTTACAGAAATAAATGCTAAGATTCGCATTGGTTTGCAGCTTGGAAACCGAGAATGTTGAAATTTTTTTTTTATAATTTATAAATTGTATGTGAACAAGGCATATTTCATCATTTACTTTTTAAGATAGGATCACTAAAAATCACGGATCTATATACTTTAGCAGAAGTATTCTTTTTATAGTAAAAAAAGAAAACTGGTCAATAGGTTTGCACCAAGATTTATGTGGGATTTACCTAGATCGTAGTTTATTTTAACATGACATTTGCCAATATTGTGGTCTTTTGCATAAATGTGGGGGATAGCTTGTTTTTTATTGTTAAATTGAGTTCAGTTGGTAAAAAGAAGGTGTTTCACAACAGTGCTAAGAAATTGCTACGTAATATCAATATATTTTATGACATGGAAGCTGAGAATGGAGAACTTAGCATTTCCCCATCTCACAGCTCACGAAAAGAACCAGCAACATTGCAGAAGTATAGCTGATGACGATAAAAAAAATTCGCCGAGAGGCAGAAATGAATGAGCCAGTTTTCAATTCCCCAGGAAAAAAAAACAAAAAGGCCCAAAAAGGAAGTATTAGATAGGGTTGGTTTAGATGGTTTTGAATGCTATTATAATTCAAAGAATTGTTCATGAATTTTATATTGAAAAGAAAAAAAATTAAAGCCTCTGTTGGAAGAAAAGATAGATTTTAAATGGAGATGAGAAACATTAGGAAATATACTGGATTTGTATGGAGAAGTCAGAACAAGAGAAAAGTTTTAATTGAAAGAAGTGACATTGTGATCAGTATCTTAGAAAAGTGAAGCAATTTCATTGTGAAAGAAGACCTCTCATTCTCAAACCAGAGGACAGACAGTAACATGATATTGTCAAAATTTTGGGAATCGGAAACAGTTTTTGGCATCATGCAGAGCACCAATGCATTTAGAAGAATTATTGTTTTATGTGCTGAAGGCGATATGGGATTTTTACTCCCTGTGTCTCTAGTATATAAAGCAAACACCACATTGGTGGACTATCACAGGCAAATGAATTCTTTTGTTTTTGAAAAGTGGACTTCTTAAAACCTCATTCCGAATCTTCCATTAAATTCTGTAGTGATTTTAGACAATGTCTCCTACTACACTATCCAATTAAATAAATGTCCCAACTATGGCAAGTTGAAAAGAAGAAATGATACAATGGTTACTTAAAAAAAAAATATGTAGTTCTATCTAATTTTACATAAAGTAGGGATAATGGAGTTTCTGAAACAAAATGCTCCTAAAGAAAGTCGTATAAATTCGATTAAATGCTCAAAGAACATGGTTTTACTGCTTTACGTCTGTCCCCGTACCACTGTGACATAAATACAACTGAATTCATGTTGACATGATAATAGATAAATTATTAAAAATTACTGAAGCTCTTGAAAGTGTAACGACAAACAATTGGGAGAAATATTGCACTTATGTAGAAAACGACTACTGGGAAAAATATATTTTAATGGAAATTTATGCAAGTTTTTAGTTATTTCTTCTGATGAAGAGGATGACAGCTTGGATGTGTATTGTGACTATGATACAATACACTGAATAATAAGTACAATGGTAAGAAATTTTGTTTTTAACCCCCCCTCCCAGTATGTGTAATACTACATATAGCTTTTAGTGCAAAATTCAAAGCAATATAATAATTATTTATTGTATTATTATCACTTTATTAACTGTAATAATTATCACTGTATAATCATTATAGTTAATAAGAAATTTTTTTAGTGTGTATATAATATGCATAGATTTTACCTCAAAAATAAAAAAAGGTAAAGTAATTATCAATTATAATGTAATTATAATAATTATTTATCATCATATAATTATTATAATTAATTCTAATAATTAAATTATTAGAATTCATTGTAGTAATAATGTAGTAATGAAAATCATACAATAAAGTATAATAATTAAATAATTATAATTAAAGTTATAATTCAATTTATTTATTTTGTTTTATTTTAAAATAATGTGTATATGGTAAAATTAAGCTGGAAAACATTTTTATTTTTACAATATAAATAAATATCAATAAATGATGATCAATATATTAGCTTAGATTACTTAAAAGTAATTTTGTCTTATGTCTGTGCCCTTTGAGTGCTGGAGAAATATACTTAAAAAAAAAAAAAAAAAAAAAAAAAAAAAAAAAAAAATATGAGTAGGAAAAATCCCTATGATTACAATTCCACCCTATTTTAAGAATGAACTGGTCCAAACTGCACATGCGTGTTTACGCTCTTGGTCGTGGCTAAGGAGGTTGAACTACAGTAAAAGCATCAGTAGTGAGAATAAGTGGCAAGTTGGCATACCTTTTCTGACATGAAAATAATGGAAATTCTGATTCATTAATAAGATCACTCAGCTGCACTTACAAAGGAACCAAAACCAGCGGAAACGGCTGCAGTTAATGAGTTACAGTTTGTTACTTTAGAATAAGTATTTCAAGGCCATTTCTTCCTTGTGGCTTTTCTCATAACCATGGTAATGGCTGCTGCAGTTTATGGCTGAATCCTCTTATTTGCTAAAATCCCCAAATGTGTGGTAATGATATTATGATTGCAAATTTGGGCGAGATGGTCACTATAAATTAAAGTGTTTGAAATAAGAGACAATAGTATAAAATTATGTCATTAAGGTGAATGAAAGGGACAAAGAAATCTTTGATTTGAGAGCAGCGGTGTTCTGTAACAGATGAAATATGTTGTTTTCTGCCATGAAAATCCTTTCATTTTACTTAATCGTTTATATTCCTTAGCAGAAACACAAGGTTGGATAGAATGCATAATAAATAAATACTGGAATAGCTGGAATAGATAATGAATTAAGAATTAATTGAATTTGGATACTGAAAGGAAAGTTGTAAAAATATTGCAGTGATTTGAAATGAATTCGGTACTTTTCTGTTTCGGCGGCGCAAATCTCGCCAAGCAGACTTTATTGACGACAACACACAGTATACTCATTAAAAAATGTTAACAAATGTTAGTTCTAAGAAATTGTTATTTTGAAGGCATAAGCATTTTAATATCATTTAAAATTTTGTAAAAAGATAATAAATAAAGACAGTAAATTTATAAAAAGACATTAATTTAAGAATTTACTATGCTTTCATCGTACAACATCCTGATTCACCATTTCACATGACCCCAAGTGATCTTATCTCATGTAAACTACGCTGTTATCTACATTAATTTCAAATTAAATCTTAATTTGGAATACAAGTTTAAATGCAAGAATTATTTCAATTCATATGAATAGCTTGCTCAAAAATTATGTAAAACCACAGTGCTTTATTTAGCTATGCATTCTCATTAGAATTGATGAATTTAATATTTGACTTTGCCCTTTTCCGTATTTTCGCCTTCGGGTGAACAGTATGATTGTATCCTAAGATTTAATTACTGCGAATGGCCTTAGGGCATAAAATTGAAGAAACAATCAATCTGATAAGAAATGGCTGCGACTTGTTTTGAAAATGTGGCGTAAAAGGTTACCAGTGAGGATATTCTGTTTGGAATTGGTTGTACCGTTTTTGGCAACTTTATCGCTTGCGCTGGCAAAATGGAAAAGTACCAAGAAATTCATTATATTTTCTGATTTTTTTTTTTAGTGGTAATAGCTTTATCGGAATTTGTGCAATTCTCTGATTTCTTTTAAGTTAAAACAGTTGATGTATACATGGGAGAAGACTTGGGGGAGGGGTAGAGGAAAAGAAGTGTTTTATTATAGATGTTCCTTGCATTTTTAGTTTAATTTGTTGCTGTTTTATGTAATTTTTTGTGTTTCATTATGGATGTTTCTTGCATTTTTGATCTTGTTAATTTGTTGTTGTTTTATGTAATTTTCATAGTGCCACCATTTTTACTTTTTTTTTCACATCTGAGATTGGTGGGAAATTAGTCGCCAATGGCTGGCAACTTTCTGAGAGTGTCAAATGGATAATCCAAGAATGCCAATTATTATTATTTTTGTTTGTTTGAAGTTTGGTTGACTGTGATGAAACTTATGAGAATTTTTTTTTGAAAGTTTTAATTTTTTAAAAAATATTCACTCTGGAAGTATCTCTATATTGTGTTCTAACTTAGTTCATTAAAAGTACAGTTGCCGGATAAGCTATAAAAAAGTGCTATGATATTACTTCATGTCATAAAACCATATTTTATGCTTTACATTGTAACATTTCCAGCAAAATCAGCTGTTGTCCCTTACACATATTTCATAATGAAACCTTGCAAAATATTATTTCAGCTTTTACATGGTAACTTAATTTAAAGACAATAATTGCACATAAAGATTTCAAAACTCTTATGTGTGCAGTGATGGTATTGCTTGCAAATACTTCTAAAATTGAAAGAATATTCTCCAGCTTTTTATTTATTCTCTATAAATTAAATTCCTTGGATTTTGGAATAGCAGTGAAATTAATCTTCTGTTGTTACCTCAGGAAACAGGTCAAGTTAAAAGGAAAATGTACTACTAAGTAAATTTTGAATAAATATTGTAAATATCAAAGTGCATTTGTTTTGTCACAATACATTCATTCCCCTATATTATTTACAGTACTGAAATAGATTTTAAATTATTTCATGAATTTTGCCAATTATTACCACTTTTATGGTAGAAATTAATTTATGTCATGTCAATTTCAGTCAATCTCATGCCAATAAGTCAGTTAGTTATAAGTAGTGCTTTTATCTACTTTCACCAAAACTTGTCTCACTTGACCTGCTATTATCTTTTGAAAAGCATTTATTGTAATTTATGTGTCAAATTAGGTGATGTAAAAACACTGTATAAGTTTTTTAATTAAGGGAGAAAACCTTAGCTTGACATTCATTTTAAAGAGATATACACTTCAAGGAATAGAAGGACAGTGTCCCTTTTCTACAAGAAACAAAGATATTTTGTGCTAGGCTGGTAATATGCGATTCAAATAGCTAAACAAAATTAAGTAAATAAATAAAATATAAAAGGCAACAGTTGTAGTGCTATCTAGAGCAAAAGCTAAAACAAAAAAAGAGTAAAGATTGCTAACCAAAGCCTTTAAAAATTTTGAAAAAAATTTTGAGAAAGACTGGGTTGGCATTGAAATAATTAACTAAAATTGATTGATTTTGGTAAATGTGAACAGATTGACAAAAATTGAATGATTTTTGGTAAATGTGAACAGATTAATTAAAACTGAATGATTTTTGGTAAATGTGAACAGATTAATTAAAACTGAATGATTTTTGGTAAATGTGAACAGATTAATTAAAACTGAATGATTTTTGGTAAATGTGAACAGATTCAGGAAAATTAAATGTACTAACTGAAGAAGGCTTGGATAATTTGAATAGAATTAAAGTTAAAAGAATGACTAAGAGGCTCACAATGATTAGTTTTACAAGCTTTATTTATTTCTTCGCACATGACCTAAGAGTCATGTTTTTTAATATGGAATTTAAATGCATCTTTTAATTTGGTCAATATCTATCAAATTTTATTGACAAGAAATGTTAATTGCTCCAAAATTAAAATTTTAGATAGGGCTTTTAAAGACTGAATTATAAATTTTATTCCTAAGAGAAAAACTTACTTAAAAGTTGAATTTATAAAGAATTCAGGCAATTTTATATCTATTAAAAGGGGTAGAAGATTATCGCGTTGTTTGCAAAGAGATATTTTTCTTTAGAAATATTTTTAAAACCTTCCTCAGTAATGGAAGGAGAAAAATATCTGTCAATAATAACAGCATTTAAATTATTGAATTGTGAATAAAAAAAGATTGTAATAAAGAAATTTTAAGAGCATGAAACATATAATAATCAAAAGAAGACATTTTCTCTTTGGTTTTTATTGCTTTCTTTCTTGTAGAGCAGGGATTCTAACCAGTACTCTACAGTAATCCAGAAGATTTCTTCATGAATTATATTTTGTACAAGCCATTCATATTTGCCAAAATTTAATTTTTAATTCATTTTTTCTTAAATTTCTTAGAAGTCTTCTCATATTTTGATTACTTTTATTACAGTTTTCCTTGACAGGTAACATTTGACTGTTACTTCCTTTTTTTATTTACTTGTGTTTTAATTAAGTTATTTAAATGATATGTTTCCTTCCTAAAATGCAGCATATTTTTGCTACATGAAGGAAAACACGCCTCATTGCTATTTGCCTTGAAATTCATTTTCTTTTAAAATGTTTTTGGATTTTGCCTTAATTTAAGGTATGCTTTCTTTCTGTAAATTGTTTTGTTATTTAATCTAATGACAGGCGGGGAGAAATTTTGTTGCATTTTAAGTAAAAGAATTTATTTAAAGCTAATGATTTGTGTGATTCACATGTCAGAGTGCATTCAGAAAGTTGTTTTTATACATAAAATTTTCTAAATTAAACTTAATTAATATTAAGCAATTATTTTTTAGATGGTAAAATTTTAAATAAAAATATGGTAAATAGGTAAATTTTTATTTTGTAACATTATTTATTAATTTACCTTATATCAATTCTACTAATGATAGAAATTTCATTTTCTGCATCATTTATAAATTAAACATGCTTTTTTAAAATTGTGTATTTTTATACTGTATTTTTTATGAATTTCTTTTGAATTGCTTATTTTAATGTAATATCTGGATGTAGCTATTTGTAATTCCTTTTATCATCAGTTAAAACCTCAGTGTTAATCTGCAGCATTTCCTGCAGTCAGTGTTATCTGTGTTGATATTTATTTTAGGCTGATAAAGAATAGTATCTTTGATTTTTCATGGCTTCATGATCTTATTGTTATTGCAGACTGCTCAGGCAGAAAATATGGCAGCAGAGGAAACATTTGAGGATGCCCCTCAAGTAAGTAACTTCAGTTAATAGTGCTTATAATATTTTCTTTTTTATTATTTACTTTCTTTAAATGTGTCAAGTAGAAAGGTTTTGAATGCTGTTAATTTTTTTTTAAACTATAATTTTTCTGCTATATTTTTGTACTGTATTTTAAAATACTGAGTAGTTATTTTTAAAGGGACGCAGCACAATTTGAACCTTCCCCTTTTTCTTCTGCATTTTCAAATTTTTATTAAAAATTATGCTCGTATTATATTTATACAGGAAATTATAATCAGAACTTGAAAAGAAAATTATTAAACTGCATATTTAAATAAAAATAAAATTATTAAAAAAATTTCATTAAAAAATTACTGCTCTATTTTAAAACTTTAATATTTTTGCTCCAAATGTTTTTTCAGCATTTCTTGAGATATATCCAGGGGTGATTGTAATCTGGATATTGCTGAAAGTCTGCATTTCTAAAGGCTACTTTTAAGGTACAAATCTCTGTCATAAAACTACATTCTGCCGAACCCGCTTGCATGCAATAGCACACAAAAGGATTCGTGTAGCGCCTCATTAGTAGACGGCATGTGCTAATAGCTAATAAAGTATAATGGCCGCTCTGAAAACTTCTGAATCAGATGTTAAATATAAACAAAACATTAAGAATTTCCCAAAATAATCGATTACACAAATTTTAATTAAAACTAAGTGAAATTGCAGTTGCTTAATAAGTACAGAAAAAGATGCTTAAATTTCAAAATGAAAAAAACTTCAAAATAAATATAAAAATCTTTTTTATGTAAAGGCTGGATTTGCACTAGAAGTTGTGAAATACAATAATTATGTGACTTCTTGACCACAACATTCTTAAAATTGCTGTTGCTCTTAGTATCTCTATATTTATGTTTAATTCTAAAGTATCCAGTAAATGTTAATTCTAAGGCAGCCAATAAATATATAGATATAAGAGCAACTGCAGTTTTGAGTGTTGTGTTCAAGAAGTCATATAATTATTTTATTTCATGCTTTTTAGTGCAAATCAAGCTAATAAAATTTTTAGATTTAAAAAAAAATTATATTTTATTTACTTTCTCAAATCCTGTAATTCCAGATGTGGAAAATAAAGAATCTGTAATCAGTAAATCTGTAAAATCAAAATCTTTTTCAAATTTTGATTTACAGCAAATCTATCACTCAATGATTACATAAATTTAAAGGTTTCAGACTATATTAAATTCAGTGAATGGTCAAACTTTTTATTTAAGCCAGAGCTGGGACAAAGAGGAGCCAAGTGAGACACTTGCGTCAAGTCGTCAGCTAGAAGCACCAAATGGGCAATGAAAAATTAAAAAAAAAATTACGATCGTTAATTTTCAGCTTTGAAAAGATCAACAAGCACTGTTATAAGACACCGTTTGCAAAGTAACAAAATTTTATTAACATCATTTGTTATAATTTTTAAATATTATATTCATGCTTGATATATCTTTCATTCTCTGTCCTATGTTAAATATTAAGAAACGAAATATTATTATCATTGTTTGCAATGATTTAAATTCTTGATATTGCCTTCATTTTTGTTACTATATGGTCATTTGCCTGAATTTTTTTGTTGTAGCTGTCTTCTTCCAATATGAAAAATAAGTGGGGTTCTATAGTTCATGTCTTATTTTGAATGGTTTTAATGGTTTGATCTTTTTACTTCCTTATTCAAAATAAAAAGGAAGTATTATAATTGTGAAAAATTTTAGGTGTCATATTTCAGCAGAAATGCCCATTTTGACAGTTATCGAACCCCACACAGACGATTTTTTTTTTTTTTTTTTTTTTTTTTTTTGCGCAACATCTATACATATGGACAGAAATGAAGGACTTTTATCCAAAGTGATTTTTAAAATGGATTTAAAATGAATACAGAAGGGATTTTTTTCGTGACATCTGTACGCATGTATGTATCTTGCATAACTCTAAAACTATTAGTTGTAGAACATGAAATTTTGTATAAGGGACTGCTATAACAGTTGTGCATTTGTTTTTTATTGCGATTGGCAGTACCAAAGGTGTGTGTATAAATATATATAATTTATATACACTACCCCTTTATCTGGCCTTTCTTTTTACAATCATTGGCTTAGTCACACACTTCTAGTTACAGAAGTGTTTTAAATGATGAAATTAACTGTGATATTTAATTTCAGACTTTGCAGTTTTTGATGTCATTTTTAACTTCCTTGAGGGATTGGGTAATTAAGTTAAAATAATTTGGGAAAACAAATTTAAATGAAGTGCAACAAAAATACAGAAGTGTTTAAATGACGAAAATATTCATGTATTGGCAGTGTGAGATTTAAAAAAAAATCACTTTTGGGCAAATAATGAAATCTAACTTTTAATGCGGTCTCATGGTTCCTATATGTATATTTAGGAAAGTTTTATGCTCTTTATGAAAAAATAAAAATATAAAAAAACTTGACTTTGGTAGGGCAAAAATTGACTAGTGTATTTGATTTCAAAATTTGCAAATTTTGATGCCATTTTCAACTTGCTTTGAGGGATCGATTTATTAAGCTAGAATAATTCGAGGAAATAAGTTTGAATGAAGTGCTGCCAAAAATGTGTATAATTTAACTGGCCATAGGAAGTTGGTGTGTTGAGTTCAGATTTTTTTATTTTGAAAGCAGATTATTTATCATGTTAAAACTTATAATGCGGTAATTAATGGTTAAAGTTGTAATGCAGTTTTCAGAAGTTTTATATGAATAATGCTGAAATCAGAGAAAGACAAACCAGCTGTCTTAGTGAATAGTGCCAGAAAAACTGTATTGATATATTGAGATTCTTATGTGATTTTAAATATATAAATAAAATAAACATAATATATATTTTCATTTGCTTACACAAAAAAATGTGATGTTAAGTAATGTAATTGTATCATGAGAAATATTGTCTTTCATGTAATGACAGTATTTAGCATTGCTTTATTTATTGACATGGATACAGGGTAATTTTGAAAATATTCATTTGGAAATTTGAAAATTATGTAGAGTTATTATGATTATCAGAAAACCTTTGCAGAATTTTGAAGTAGTTCAGTTACATTCCTAAATTAATATTAGTTTTTCATTTAAGATTTATAAAATATATACATTTTGCCCCACAAAGTACAAAACAATTGACATCTGAGTATGCATACAAATTTTAAAATGTATAATTATGTAATAGCATGATAAATATGAAATTGAAAATTGGGAATTATTTACTTAAAACGAATAATAATAATAATATGGGAAATAGAGACTAAAATTAGTGCATTTTGCTTAATTGGGTCAGGAAAATGAACATTCAGAAACTCCTAATAAGTCAAAGGATTAAAAAAATCCAAGAGCAAAATTTGTGTTTTCAAAGCAAAATGGGGAGACAAGGTAAGAAAAATTCACTTTTGTATTATTTGATTTTAATACCTATAATTATTATATTTGAATGTTGTAGTATTACACGTGTATTATATGAAAAGAGCCATTTTGCAATTACATAAAGTTGGTTGTTATTGTTTGTATTTAGTTGTATTATAGCAGATTTAAAAGTGTAAAATGCTTTTATTGTAAATTTTTCTAGAGGAAGTATTTTTTTAACATTAGATAATTTTACTAGGGAAAACTGAAAAAAGTCATGTTGTACTGTACTAGGAATGACGTATCATGGGCATAAATATGCATTTGATATTAATGCATAAATATTTTACCCACTGAGTTGGTAATAAACATCCTTGCCACTTCAGGTTTTTGATATGTTATTATTTCATAGTGAATTATTCAGAACAATCCGTAATACTATCACCATGTATTTTCATTGTTTTTAGAGTATGTATAATATCCAAATCTTCTACATTCGGAGTCATTCTCTCTCTGTCTCTCTCTCTCTCTCTTTTTTTTTTTTTTTTTTTTTTTTTTTTTGTAAGTTGCATGAAAGAATAAAAAAATTGTATCTTTTTTAAGGAAATGGTAGCAGTTTTTTTTTTTTTCCCCAAAACTTATTTCTTGATGCAAGTGACTAAAGTTGATTGCGTTCAATTATGCAACTAGATCAATTATGCAACTTGTCTTTCTTGGAATAAGAGGTTAAAGTCTTTCTAAAAAAGCTTCTTAAAATGACTGGCTGAAGTTAATTTTTTAAAAAAAAAAGTTTGTAGGATTCTCCACTGTGTATTTTTAAGTTGCAGTTGAAAGTGAAGAACCTTAAGAACTAGTAAGCGAATAATCGCATGAGTTCATGAGATAGAAAACAATAAGTAAGAGGGTGAAATAACCCTTTATTATTCCAACTAAAGTTTAACAAAATTCCGTCTTGGAGTTGTACAATAAAGCTGACACTTGGGCTTGAACTTAAGAGGCTAAGAATTAAACTAAACTAATCTTAACTAAAGAGATATAGCCGAAGCTGTCAAAATTCTAACAGAGTTGGCCCCTTAATGCTAATTGACTGCAAAGCTATCAAGGGCCTAAAGTATGGCCGAGTATAGTAGTAGCTTATGAGATGCCTAAAAAGGTGGACACGTGCAGCCAGAATATCTGGTATCTCTCTAAGACTGTAGAACTTCACGGTTAAATACCGCTCTTCCTCATTAGCATTCAGACATGATTCTAAAACTACATTCTGGCCGGATGTAGTAAGTTGAAATTAAGAATTGATAGGAAAGGAAGTTTAACTCAGAAATTAACTGTTAATAAAATTAATATAATTCGTACAAGTGTTTAGCTTTTTCTTCACTTGAGGGAGGAGCGTGTTATATAAAACATATGGCTACAGTTTATAGACTCTTGCAAATATTAATTCAAACTGATTTTTCAGATTACTGATAAAAAAAGAGTTTTTTTCTCATTAAAAAAAGAATAGGAATTTTTTAGAAGTTTATTAAAGTAGAATTAGATGAAGTGTTTTGGTTATTATAAATACAAGTAACAATAGTGTTCAAATCTTAGATCTTTAAATTAGGCCAGTACCAAATCCTTATGTCTTTTCTAATTCTGAGTTTTCTTCTCAAGGGACAGTTAAAAGAAGATAATGATAATTGCCTTAGTTTTGCATCCAAAATTGTACATAATCTCTCTTTCTCTCTCTCTCTCTCTCTCTCTTTTTTTTTTTTTTTTTTTTTCAGCTTTTGGAAAACTTTATGTGGATTCTTAGTTATGTTATAATTTGCTTTAAAGGTGTAGTGGCTTTCAACATTAAGATTAGCTTTCATGGTGCAGTTCATAATTTTTATAAAGCTGCAGCTTTTATAATAGCAATTCATCATTTTAGCAATGTTCTAAAATATTTATGGCCCCAGGTATTTGGAATTAAAGATATTCAGTATGTACAATTAAAAGGGGAGAAAAGGTTTCTTAAAAGCTTAGAGATTTTTCTGAAGTCAAAAGTTTAGTTAGTGTTAAGAAGTTTTACTTCTTGAATATTCTAGTAAAATTATAGTTTGGTGAGAGATTTTATGCTTTGTTTATGTCATAAGGCTATTGATATATCATCTTCTGATTCATGACCTTTGTGTTTGGATTCCTCATAAGAAATTATGAAAAAAAAATTATAATTTCACACTGAAAATTTGCTATTCATTTGATATTAATTAATTACTTCTGAGCTTGTGCTATTTATGCATTTGTTTTATTTTTGCAGCAGACTGAAGACATGGATACAAATGAGGTAGTAGAAGGTTTACATGAAATAGAATTAACTAACATAACTAAAGAAGGCTATCCTAAAGGAGCACCAGACCAGTTCAAATTATTACAAGTCCTTGGTCAAGGATCTTTTGGGAAGGTCTATAAAATATTTTAAGCATGGCATTTGTATCAAATTTTCTAGTTTATATTCTTCATGTGCTGTTAAATCATTTAATAAATAGGAAATTTATTAATATTTATTGATGCCTTTTGATTTTACAAAAGTGTAAATTAATTTTGCATTTTTCTTGCTGATTTATGATTATAATTTGATTGAAAATACATAACACTTTTTTAAAGCAAACTTCTAATTTTAATTTTGCAAAATCCCCATTATTCTTCATTTTAGTTTGATTATTTCTCCTTTCTGTCCTAAGCATATTAATTGTTTATAACTGTCCTAAGCACAGTAACTGTTTTTTTATGGTCTAAATGGCATTATTTGAAAATTAATCTGTTTCATGTCATCTTAAGTAATATGCAGCAATGCATATTATATTATATATATATTTTTTATCCAGTCCTTCTATTCAGAACCGAAACTTTACCCTCTCTTACACTTTATTGAACGCATAGTCAATTTTGCTTTGCTTGCAGCGTGCTAGGATGCTGTCACTTACCTCGCTGTCTATCATCATAAAATAATCTAATGTCTTAAGATGTAAATTTGAAAGAATGCTATGAAGAGATTGGGTGCACATTGCACTCATGATGATGTGTGAGTAAGAATATGTGTGTGTCTCAAGAATTAGTTGTCCAGTAATAAATTATGTGAATCTATGACTGTAAGTATCATCATTTTATCTTTGCAATAAACCACCTCTAGTCCATTATAGCTACCTCTAACAAATCTATTTAGCTAAGCAATGGAATCTGAAAAGAGTTAATCTGAAAATAGTAAAACGTGATATCATTGGCACATTGTCAAAACCATGAATCTGAATTTTTTGGTGATTTCACATGTAATTTTTACACTATTCTAAATGTCAAATTCCAGAACTGTACAGACAGACAGATGACTTATTGACCTGTCTATCTCATAATAAGCAGTATATGCAAAATCAAATGAAAGTTTTAAATTAATCTTTTTATTAGCTTGTCAGTCTGACAGTTAAACAAGTTATGCAATACCAAAAATATATTGAACAGCTGCTATTTGTAGGAAAACATAGGACAAATGTTCCAATCAAATATAAATATTAAATTCAAAATAATAAATATCTCAATAAGCTGTGGCTTGACCCCAGCATTTCATAAAGCAACTGTAGCTAGCAAAGCTAAAGCTGACAATCAACTCAGTAACAGGAAAAGTTGGCAGAGTAACCTGTCACCAATACTTACTAAAGGCTCACTCTCAAATTCAAAAACTCTGTGCTTAAATGCCTTGGCTAATCCTAGTGGGAGTGGATGCAACCTGGTGGGAGTGGACTAAAGTTTAATAAACACAAAATTAATAAGATGATTGAGTTAATTGACATGAAAACCTACAACATACATGTATTTTCTGTATTATTTTATTTTTATTATTTTATGATTTGCTAAAAGGGATGCATGATGAATATATGAGAATTGTTGCATAGAAATTATTTTTCAGTCTTTCTGTAAAACAAGTGCTTTTAACTTGTCTTTTTTGAAATGAAAGTCTTTGGAAATAGCACTGACAATATATTTCCATCTTATTATTCTTTGACTGTAAATTATAATTAAAATTTTTTATGCTTTAGTTTGGTCTTCCAATAATATTCAGTAAAACAATCTAGCGATGAAGTAACATCAGTTTGGCTAATTGTATTTTAACTTAAATAGGTTGTCAGGGTTCGTACGGTCCTTAAAAGTCCTTAATTTTTTCAAAAATGATTTTTGGTCCTTAATTTTGGTCAAAATGAATAAACGGTCCTTAATTTTCTCATTTGACATTTCTTATCATTTCTAATGATTGCCATTCTAAGTGTGAATTGCGATTTCTCATGAATATGGAATTAAAATTACACAGCTCTTAACCAATCTGTTGGCGGATTTGCGTTGCAAACGATAAAAAAACAATTAGCTACCCTAGGACGAAAGTATCGGGTGTCTGATTGGCTATTTACCCAATCTTTCGAAACAGGTGTTATCCATAAATTTAGGCAGATTGTGATGAAAGCGTGAAGCCGGAAGTTCTTTAAGAGGCGAAAAGTGATGATGAAGGTGCTCGAGGAAAAAAAAGGGGGGGGGGATTCTGAAAATATTTGCCAAAATTAGAACAATTCCAACCTGGAAGGCCACAACCCCTCCGACGCCAATAGGAACGAGATGCCTGGAAAGTGCATTTTCAATAAACTGTGGCTTCATCAAGCTGACTACAAAGACTGGATATTGATGGATGGACAATCCTTATAAAGCTAAATGTGGTCTTTGTCTGAAACAAATTGAAATTTCTAGAATGGGAGAGTCAGCGCTGAAAATTCACATGAAAGCTAAGTTTCGTTTTATCATTTCAATTTGTTTTTACACGGTTTTGCTTACCTTAATTTCTGTGTTTGTTTGAATTAAGCCATAAATTAATTTTTGATCACTTTCTACGGAGTTTATTTTTTTTTTTTTTTGCACATATATGTATGGGATATCGGGATTATGAGTTTATTTCTGCAGAGGGTCTGTTATCGATTTCGCGGGAAATCTGTTGGCTCCATTTCGATTTTAGGTCGTCAAGGGCAAATTCGGTAACACTAGCCAAAAAAAAGTGAAGTTCGGAATTACGTTTTGAAGCTTCATTAGACAATTAAGTATTTGGTTTAATCCTATGCGCAAGGTATCCGTTGCATAAGGGATTTGGCTACTTTTGGTGACTTTATGATGAGCATTAAATGGGACATATACGATGAGTAGTTAAATGGGTCATTTTGGTGTTGGCGATAATTTTCAAAATTCATTGAATTCATTTCAAAAAAATTCATTGAAAGCCATCTCAAATATTTTGGAGGCAACTAAGGATAAAACATTTCTTATAAAATTAAATTATTTTTCTCTCTCTGTCAAAAATATTATTGCCTTTCCTTGAATATTATAATAACTTGAATATTTCCTTAAATATTATAATTTAAGCGATAAACCACTTATTCCCTTTTTTGCTGAAGATATCTTAAAACTTGTAAATGACTGCTTTTAGCACTTTAAAATTTTGAAACTAGAATATTCAAAAATAACTAAAGCAGAAAATCTTTATAAATTTAATTTAATTATCCAAATTGTTATAATGATAAAAGTAAAGTTTATTTGAGCAGTTAATGAATGAAAATTGCCGCAAGAAGGACATTTCACAAGCTGCAAGTTTTGCATTGAAACAAAGTCAACAATGTGTCTTAACAATGGTACAACACTTAATGGCTAAATGTCCCATAAATTATTCTCTTATTCGAAATGTATCTTGTATAGACCCACAGTTGATGGCTAAAAGTCCAGAAAAAGCCCAGAACAAAATGAAAATAGTTCTAACGGTATTAACGCGGAATAAATGTGTTTTACAAGATAATTGTGATGAAATTCTGCTGCAGTTGGAGAGAATTCTAGACAAAGTAGTTAAGACAAATTTACATGAATTTTCTACTTTTGATCCTCAAAAAATCTATCTCTTGACAAATTTCTCACTTCTTATTTTCATGATTTTCACTATTCTAAAGTATGGGAAAATAGTGAAAATGATTCTATCTGTCACATGGACAGGCCTTGTGGAAAGTGGCTTCTCTGTAAATAAAGCAATTGAAATTGAAAATTTAAGTGACTCATCATACATTTCTCAATGCACAGTATTTGATTACATAAAAAGAAATGAGATCAGCAGCAGCTTCGATAGATGCTTTTAGCAGATGAAGCCGAGACCAGCAGGAACATTGATTTGTTTATCAAAGCAAATGAACGTAGAAGAATAGTTAAAGAAAAGGAAATAGACATAAATAAATTAGATGTTAAAATATCTGAAAAAAAAATCAGATTTTAAAAAAGTATAAATGTTTTGTATCTTTTATTGTATAGTTTATGATTCTAGTATCTTTCAAAAAACCAAAGAATATAATTGTATGTTTACAAATCTGTTATTTTATTCTGCAAAATATTCTTACATTGCAATTGTAATAGAGTAGTTGACTGTGTTTAAATAAATATCAAATAATTAAATAATAATCATGTAAATCTCTAAAATATCTGTGGCTGTTATTAGTGTAAAATACACTTATACATGTTTTTTAAGAAATTATGTTCTTAATTTAATGTTATCTACTTCATAACTTGTAGGGAGTTAGTTTAATTTTTAAAATTGTTTTATGTTAAGTATTAAATTGAATTTAATAATAGTGCATAATACACACTTCTGTTAGTTTCACAAATGGATAAATGCGTTATTCTATTTGTTATTTTTTTTTTTGTTTGTTTTGTTTGTTTGCTGATAGGTCCTTAATTTTTTCTTTGATAGTCCTTAAAAGTCCTTAATTTTCATGTAAGGAAATGTGTACGAACCCTGGTTGTTGATTTCTCTACATATTATGCTTTTTCATAATTATTTCTTTTTATTTGCATCAATGTTTATTTATTTTGTTAATGTTTTCATAATATTTTTTTCAGTATATTTGTCTTATAAAGTAACATTGTATCTAATTCCTCCCAGGTCTTTTTAGTAAAGAAAATAGTAGGACCTGATTCAGGTAGTTTATATGCCATGAAAGTTTTAAAGAAAGCAACATTGAAAGGTAAGATAATCATCTATTTATCTATCTAAGTGTATTTTCAAGAAGAGTGTTTTGTTTGCATATTCTTAAGGAACAGAATATTTATTTCTTTTGAATTTATCTTTTCTCATGGCATATACTGTGATTATTTTTGGTAGTAATGTGGGGAAGGGGTATAATTTAAATCTCTATAAAATTATACTCCGTTCCTATATTAATGTCAGGGTCTAAATTAAGTGATTGTTAATGTATGTTGAATTTATAGAAAAGTCTGTATGTATCCTTTTTATATCATAATGAATGCTCCTAAATTGTATGCATTGTTTCTAGTGAAGTGGGCATGTTTGAATGAAAATATTATGCCATGTTTAAATGGAACATTTGAGATGTTATAAAATTTAGCCCTGCAGCTAAGGCTGAAGAAAATAGTAATTACAAAATTTCATAGTATCGTCTAATTACTATGAAGGGCATTCTGAAATCCACTAATGTGCAATAATTTCTTGTTACATTACAAGTAAATGTTAATTGATAAGACAATGCATTTCATGCATTTCTTTGATATGGTTATAAGAGAATTTTTGATATTATAGATGATATTTTTTACATATATGATGAATACCAAGCTTATGTGAAATTTCCTACCTGCATTGAATTGTAAACCACCCTTTTCTTTGTGTTTTGTTTTAAAATTGTAAAAGTGCATCCCATAGCTTCTGGAGCTTTAAATCAATATTGCAATTTTTTTGGTAAGTGTAATCATAATGCTAGGTGTATTACCAGCATTTTCTGTCCTTTCTGCATTCGGGTGAAAAATTATTTACAACATAACCCACTGCAAAAGATGAACCACTACCTGAAAAAGATGAGTTGCATAGTATTATACATTTGATTTACTGATTTACCAGGCCTATAGATTTGGGTATTTGAGTGATGATACCAGAAACTGTGCCCTCAGATTTGCCTTTTGCTATGCCATGTTTGAGTGTAAAGATGAAAAGTGGCATATGTTTGTCTGCATCTTAACACATGTCAAAAATTTTGAACAGGAAGTGACAGAACTATCACCTTATGTGACACCATCGCTATGTATGTCACTGTCACATATGCGACACTCACTGTATATGATGGTCTGTAAAAGTATTTGTCAAAACTATGCAATATGCAGCTGATTTCTGTATTCAGTGATGTGCTGATTGATATTTTGATTAGCCCTGATTGATATTTTGCCCTAATTGGTACTTTGATTAATAACATTAGTTGGCTACAAGTTCAAAATCCCAGAGAAAACTTTGATGTTTCTAAGTGTATAATTTGTGAGCGGCATGGGGGCTTAGTATTCAAATACTGGCAAGCTAAAATTTCACATGAGAGGTTTGGCTGTAGGGGAAGAGGAGTGTTATACCTTTGGATCTGACTCCTGGGGCATTCTTCATCAATATTGGAATAGAGCTGTAGTTAGTATGGTAGGACAGTATCTGTAAAACTGTTTGCAAAGGTATAGTGCCTCCCCATTTTTTCCTGTTCTGTCCTGTATTCACTATTGCACAACTGATAATTATTGTGCATTTTTAAATATTGATATAAAATAATTAAATAATGCTTCGTAATTATGTACTGATTATTTTCTTCTATCTTGTTTTATTTATTGATTTAATGTCTTTTCGTATTTTGATTAGTGGACTTTATTTTTGTTAGATCAGGCATATTCATTTAATTTTACAGACAGACATAATAAATATGTACAGAATATGATCATTCATCTTGAAATAAAAGAACTGTGTATGTATTTTCCTTTGGGCTCTGGAAGAGGGTTAGAGCTTATGAAAAAGGATGATGAAAAACAAAAAATGGTGAACTAAATTTTACTTAAGAAGCTAAAAGCAAATATCATATAATGTGTATGTTATCATGATTTAATGCTTAAATGATAGAAAAACAAATTAAAAATTTTTCATTCAAAAATAATGATTACAGTTGAGATTAGTAATTGTCAACTGATTCATATTAAACAGGTTTGTTAATAAATGGTATAAATATAATTTCCCCATAGGTTAATGTAACTTTGAAAGGAAAAATAAACTATAAGATATGGTAGAAGAAAAAATCTCCAATGTTAATAATTATTTACATACACTTTTGTTTAATTAATGGTTAAACTGTGTAGTTACCTAACAGTAACAGGTTTCACTGATTTTTGTTTAAAAAAAATTAAGTAAGTATGTTTGATTTTTTCATCTTGTCCTGCACACTGAAATATATATTAGCATAAAACAAAATTTAGCAGGATTAGCATAAAACAAAATTTTTAGCGTAGTTTAGGAAAATTAGTTATGTTTTATCACAATTATTTTCTTTGTCATAAGGAGCAGGATTTTATTCTTTTTTTCACACTCTGTATTTAACACTCTGCTGCATCATATGGATCTAGCCAATCATTTTCCTGTAACTCAATGTTTCCCAAACTTTTGTGTGCACCAAAAGTTTGGGAAAGTTTTGTTTGCAAACCAAAAGTTTTGTGTGCACCCAACCTTTCTAAAATTCTTATGCTCCCTAACATTCTTATGCCCCCTCAATTAAAAACTAAAAAATAATAATATGAACTGGAGACTTAAAATGCATATTTAAATATATATGACAGCCCACTGCAAAAAATACATACTTTTTATTTGACAAATTTTTCTGAAAAATGCTTCTAAAACTGAAATTAATAAGAATTTCCCATTGAATTTATATACCATTTATATATTACTTATATTTATACAATGGATATATTTTTTAAAACAAGACATTTACATCAATTTAATGGATGCTTATTTCAAATTAACCCAATGGTAAATGCTGAGCGTTACTGTGAAACACTGCACAAACTGAGATCCTGGCACTAAACATTTCGCGCCATTCAGAACTATAGTGTGAGTGCCGGCCCAGTATAACCAGTAGTTTAAAGTTGAACAGTGAAATCACTGCTACTAACATGGCGGACAGAAGTTACTTATATCGGAGATTTACCCAGCTAGAGTAGCGACTGAGAGTTGCCATACTGTTAACATAAATTATGGATGAGTCCATACTCGAATTGCTCCCCCTTAATAATTAAATTGCCCCCCTTTTCTCTGTGGGATGTGGACATCACCTTGGGAAACACTGCTTTAACTGTTCAGAAAGGAGAATGGAGTAAGTTTTTCATAGCTTCAGCATACAGTTCATTAAATTCTTTTCGTCTAGGCATTTCCCCCCCCCCCCACAGTAGATTGTAACAAAACATTTCATTTGACATAAAAATACTTGCATCAAAAATGCTTTAAGGAAGGCTTTTCAGTTCATTTATTTTTAACTATGCCCCTATTATTTGAAATGGATAACATGATTATGTTCCAGTCATTTGATTTTTATTATTATTTTAACTGCGAAGACTTCAAAAGATTCTAATGTTTTAGGGAGAAAAATATGATTATTAATTCTTGAAAATGTTATAATTGTTTGTCTGTAGAAATTTACCTATTGAAAGTAATTGTTATTCTCATTGTAAATCAAACCTTATTGTCAATTATAAGAATTAACAGCTATTACATATTGCATAGCATGTTGAAGAAATTAAAATATTTATTCAAACTCTGGCATTTTGTTCTGTAATAATTTATGTTAAAATTAATTAGTTTTAAATGTTACTAGATAATTTCTTCTCTCTTAGATATTAAATAAGTTTGAATTTTCTGAGAAAAACTAGAAATTTGAAGAATTTGTAAAATAATGTTGATAATGGCTAATGGCTTGAAATAATAGCTTGAAGGCCACTTTCTGGATCTGTACAGCTAATTGCATTTTATATTTAGTATGTTTGGCATATATGATTTCTATAGTTTATTGTTTTCAGTAAGTTATTAAAAAAGGTCTGAATGTAGGCAAAAAGGCATTTTTAGATAACTTAGATTTTGAATAGAATGTCTGTTGATTTTGTATGCAATCTGAAATAAGTCATCTTTATTATGAACAAAAAATTTTTGCTCTTGGAAGAAGTTAAATTTGACATGCTTTTCTTCCATTTATCAAAAAAGATATTTTGCTAGAACATAGCTTAGTGCCACAATTTTAATCCATGTATTCTACAACATAACTCAGAGCTCCCATTTTATGTTTTCAAGTTTTTCAGAAATGTGTTTCCTTTGTATAAATGTGTTTTTAAATAATTTTTTATGTGTATTATTAATAACTCTGAAATTTTACAGTAAGGGACAGAATGCGGACAAAAATGGAACGTGACATACTTGCAGATATTAGGCACCCATTTATTGTAAAGTTACATTATGGTATGTAACAGATGTTTGTTTTTTTTATTATTGACTTGAATTTGAATGATATGATGAAATTATTGTATCTAAATAAAAATTTTATTTTTGTAGCTTTCCAGACTGAAGGAAAATTATATTTAATTCTAGATTTTTTAAAAGGAGGAGATCTTTTTACAAGGCTCAGCAAAGAAGTATGTTTTGGATTGTATTTCTTGTTCTTTATCGCATATGTTAACTTCCAATTTTTTTTTTTTTGTTCAATTTTTTGAGCTCCAAGCATTTTGTATTTTTGAGTAGGGGTGTCTGTGTGTATACAAAATAATTTTTTCTTTAGGGGCACCTTTATAAAGGCAGTCAGCTGTAGGTGTTCTGTCTTATAAAAATGTACCCCATTTAAGGAGATCAGTTTCTAACTTGAGAAAGCTAACATTCGTAGGATGCAGGTACCTTTGTGCCAAGGCACACTTATACAAGTCCAATTTTCATTTACATTATTAATTAATTATACAGTGGATGAAAAATGAATCTGTGGCATCTGTATAAAAAATTGGTTCTTTTGCACGAAGAGGTCAAAAATTTATTTCATGCCTTCCATATTTAATCAGTAATTGGAGGGGGATCAAACTTGCCTAAGGATGCCCTGTATAAGAGGTGCTTCTCACAGCTGATCTTTGTAAGGATCTTAGAAACGGATCTTTATAAAGATTGCTCTATTGAGATTATGGCAGAGCACTAGGGTTATCTGCATAACGGGAGGGTTGCCTTTGTGGATGACTTTCTAAGGAAAACTGGCAATGCCCGTTACACATGGGGAAAACCATGAAAATGCCCAAGCAGCCAGCCCGTTCGCGTGATTCAAGCATCTTTATAACAAGCCATCCTTATGAAGTGATTACCATTTTAGAATGAATGTAGTTAGAATTTTATATCTCTTCCAGCAATCTTGGAGGTCAAGCCTTCTTGAATTTTTTATATTATTTTTATAGCATTATGGTTGAAATGTGTGACAAGGAAGTTTATTTGTTTAGCTACAAATATCTCCCCCTCATTTTTTGGGGGTGAACATGCTTCTGGCATTATTTTGGGGGTGAACGTGCTTCTGGCAACTTGTGATCATGCCTTCATTATCTACTGTATCTTCTGAATCACTGTTTCTTCTTCTTTTTAAACATCTGTCTGTGTCCTTGTCAAGATTGCTAACATTTCTCTAAGATACTTATTTAAATTTATTATAGTTTTATGTGTCATCTGTTTTTTTTTGTTTTTGTTTTTTTTTTGTCAAAAATTTAATGTTAGCTCCGTATACTATCAATAAGTAAATTGTATGATTACCATGTACATTAAATAGTTTCCTTTGAAAGAAGTCCAATACGTATTTTAACAGTTTGTCTGTGTTTATATATGCAACAGTTCTGTAAAATACTGTATATGCGCAGCTTCATCTGATAAGAATTAGCACATATTTTGAATGTCTATTGTGTGTTGTAATCTTGTAAAAAGTGGAGGGCTTCACTTTCATTAATAGGTAAAGCCCACAATTATTACTTTGTGTAATGCTTTTTCAACTGTTACTGAATAGGCTTTTTAAAATTGTGATATAAAGCTAAGTAATAATATAGTAATTTTAAATGTAGGCACATTTATGAACAAATACCAGAGAAATTTTAAATTTGGAAAACAATTCTTGTACTTTTATGGCTTGTCTATTTCGTAATAGAAGAAAATCATTGCAAAATTAATAAAACAGCTATGCCATTTAAATTTTTCAAAAAAAAAAAAAAAAAAAAAAAGCCTTTTTTCGGAACAGTCATTTAGGTTGATTTGTTTTAAACCTGTTTTCGGTTTAAATTATTGTTACTAAATAATTAAGTGGCTGTTTGAAAATCTCTGGTGTTCTAAGTATTGTACTTTATCTAATATTTCTGACTAGTTGGATATTAGTTATAAAAAAATCAGGTAGTATTTAAAAAACGTTAAGTGGTAAAATAAAAAAAGGAGCTAGATTTTATTCCCTTTATGATAAAATTATATTTCTTACATGTAATGACAGTAAAACTATTTTTTCTTTTTGAATAATGATAAAAATATGTATATTATAGATTTTTAAGTGCTTTAACTGTTGCCTTTTTCTTTAATGCAGGTGATGTTCACTGAAGAAGATGTTAAATTTTATTTAGCTGAGTTGGCTCTTGCATTAGATCACCTCCATAGTCTTGGCATTATATATCGAGATTTAAAGCCTGAAAAGTATGTTTTGTGTTGCTGTATTGAGCATTACCTGATACATGATCATTTAAGAATTTCATTCAGTGATATTTATTTATTTAATTCATTGATGATTAGTACAGCTTTCTCAGCCTAGATCTGACCTCTAGCATTGCTCCAGTTTGCATTCTCCATTTGTCTGTCCATTTCTTAAAGGTATAAGGCAAAATGAACTTGTAGGGACTAATGAATATTTAATTCCTGTTGTGTAATATACTATATAATTTTTTTGTGAAGAATTTTTTTAAGTGAACTGTTTAGAAATAGTCTGATTATAATTAACACTGTATCACTGTGCTATCAAAGAAGACAGTCGCCAAAAGCAGGTGACTAAAAGGAGAAACATATATTTGTAATACTATAGGATCCTTCATTTATTCATATATTAAACAAACATGTGTCAGCTGAGGTCCCTGTTAACTGAGCTAATGATCACTTTCAAGAAATGATCAGGAAACTATGGTTTACATGTGTTAAAAAGGAAAAAAGTGTGAGCTAACAATTAATTTCTTGTCATGTTTCAAATGATAAAAAGATGATGTTTCAGAATTGATAAATGTAGGCACATGGCACAAACTTGCATCAGAATTCACTTCATTAGGTATGCACAAAAAAGTGATGGACACGGCACAGTTGGAGATCCTGTCTTCACTTTGCTGTAATAGATTCTGTAGTAGAACGCAGTGGTTGTATCTACAATGAACAGCTAGAATTTTGGTGCCATAGAATGCTGAAGCGCCAATCCACAAGCAATAAGAAATTTGGCAGTCAAGGTATATTTAATTTAACTTTTATTTCAGTAAACATGTTGTGGCTGCAATCCAGTTGGCACATTAATTGTGCCTATTCCAAAAAGTTTACATTTTTGGAATACCAAATTTTCAAATTTTGAGTGATGAAGAAATTATTCTTAGTGTAAATCTGGAGAAAAATAAAATTGCAGTCATTTTGAGAATGACAAAATAAAAAATATGAAAATTAACTATGCTTAAGTCTTCAGTTCATTTTATTATGATTATGGCAAAGCTTTCATAGGGCCCCTTAGAAAGCTTGAAATGCTTTCTAAGGGTACATGAGTTCATTGGGACACTTAGAAAGCTTGAAATGCTTTCTAAGGGGCTTAGTGAACTCATAATATATATATATATAAATGTAAGAAAAATAAAGAATATGTAAAAGATTAAATTAGCAGAGAAAATTAAGTTGCTTCTGTATTCTAAAAATAGTAACTTCTATTTGCACTGCATCATTTCGAAAAAATCTATCATATGACTCATACGTAAGTCTGATGATGTAAATGAAACTAGAACTCAAACAGCCAGTAGTAATTTTAAAGCAATATTAACCATCAAATCAAAATGCATTGAGAACCAAAACTAACTCAGTCTGAATTAAGATTTCACTTTGAACATAGCGCACTTGCTTTCACTGCTTTGGCTTAGCTAGACTGCTGTCTGCCTGTTGCTTCTTTCTTGCTACAAAGTTATTAAAAATGTAAACTTTTTGGAATAGGCACAATTAATGTGCCAACTGGATTGCGGCCACAACATGTTTACTGAAATAAAAGTTAAATTTAATGTACCTTGACTGCCAAATTTCTTATTGCTTGTGGATCGGCGTTTCAGCATTCTATGGCATCAAAATTCTAGCTGTTCATTGTGTATACAACCACTGCCTTCTACTACAGAATCTATTACGGCAAAGTCAAGACAGGATCTCCACCTGTGCCATGTCCATCACTTTTTTATGCATACCTAATGAAGTGAATTATGATGCAAGTTTGTGCCATGCCTATTTTTAATTTGTGCGTTCATAATTTCTTGCTCATGTTCTGCCAGTGTCTACAAAGAGAAAAAAAATATATACTACGTGATCATCAATGATTTAAGTGCTTTGCAAGTAATCAGTGCTTTAAGCTCAATAGGAGTATATTTTAATTAACTACAAAATAATTAAATACTCCAGTCATCAGTCTGTGTTTAGGAAAAGTGTTTTGAAGTGCCATATGCGAGGTACTTCGTTCTGCATCGAACATTTACAGAGGTCATCAAGTGTCAAGTACTTTGTGGGTGTTGAACTGTAGGAAATCCTTTTAATCCATTTCTGATTCCTATATGGCCTTATGTTTATCCAAATGACTTTTTTTATGGTCAGTGTGTATTTAATTACTGCTATTTCAGAGAAACAAACCTAATGTTGGTTCAGTGATTTTAAATTTTGTGTGAAAAGTTTTAGTTAAAATTCCTGCAATTTAATTTTATTGTTTTAAGATAAAAACGTAGTACATAGTTTTCAAAGAATGAAAACACAAGTATTTTGAAATTTTCATTTAATGGTTTGGCATTTATTAATTTTTTTGGCACATTTTATTTGATATTTTCTGCTAATAGTTTAAATTTTTCGTTACTGTGAAATAATTAAATTGTCAATCCCTGCGGAGTCGATCGAGTTGACAGCCAGGCAGCGAGTGCCGAGTGAGTTGTCGAGTCTACCGAAGGAGTCTGTTAGTTTATCGCAGTTAGTGCATCGTTGAGAGAGCGTGTTGAGCTCCGGGAATGACTGAACCAAAGAGTCGGGAGCTGTGCTCGTGTGTCGTCGAGTGCATCATGAGTTGTAGCGTGGAGAGTCTCAAGAGTACGTGGAGTTCCAAGAATGACCAAACAGAGTCAGAAGCTGTACTCCGAAAAGCAGAGTTGGGTGCTTTGCAGGAAGCTGTCTCCACCGTGATAACCTGAAGGCTGTGTCACTGATCGCGTCTGCGCGTTTATAGTAGTTCATCGATGACTGTAAAACGTGTTTTGGAGCTGCCCTGACAATACTGGCTATAAAGTGTGTTTCGATACTTCATCAATTGTCGTCGTTATTCACTCCAAATCTACGAACCCCATACGAAGAAACAAAATAACATAACAACTGGTGTCAGAAAAGAAAAATTGCAACAATTGGTGTCAGAAGTGGGATAAACGTAACAGTATGAAGAGGGAGTGTAGGCTCAAAACAGAGGTTCTGTCTTTTCCTCCGTCTTTGCCTGTTTACTCTCCTCATATCAGAAGATATAAACTAATTACATGAAAAAATTATAAGGCTCCCACCTTATAATTTTTTCATGTAATTATTAATTTTATATAAATGGATTCTGTTAACTTTTTTTATAAGTGGAATCTATAGTGCTTTTCAAAAAGGCCAGTTGCCTTTAAACCAGGAACAGAGGCCTTTATAAGCAATTGCAAGAAGCAACTCTTAACCACTCGTGAAAATTTAGTATATGATTTTAAAAGCAATGATTGCAATGATTTTAAAAGTTTCTAAATGCTTTAATAACACTTGTTTTTCTTAATCATGTGTTTCAGTGGCAAAATTTGGTACTTCTAATAACTTCATTAACTTAAGTCAAACATGCGCATTTTTTATGACAATGTATAGTAATTTTTATGAGAATGTAATAGAAATTAGCTTTAATGCAGTAATTAAAGCTATTGCCCATCTCCTTCTACATAGTTGAGATTAATTTCAAAATATATGTAAAACCAATGTTCATGGACCCCACACATGAAGGTGTTTGAGATTAATTAATTTCTTCTTTTTTACCTCCTTGTACCGAGCAAAGGAAGTACTGTTCGGTGAAGACAAATTTCAGGTATCATATTTCAACAGAAATATCCATTTTGGCCACTCTTGAATCCATTTGAAGGATCTTTTTGTATGATATCTGTGTATGTATGGACAGAATAAAAGACTCTTTATTCCAAAAAGGGGGTTGTAAAATGGATTCAATATATATATGTTACCCATCTCAATTTTTTTTTGTTCTTATGTTGATAAATTGTGCCTTTTTTGCTTTGAAAGTGATTGAATTATGTTGTTCTCAAGTTTCGATGAAGATTTTTATGCCTTTAGTTAATCTGTATGCAATAGTTGTAGAATTATCATTAATTTAAAAGCTTGGTACTTTTACAGGCGATAAAGTTGCCAATAATGGTATAACTGGTGCCAAATGGAATATCTTCGCTGGTAACCTTTTACGCCTCATTTTCAAAACAAGTCGCCACCATTTGGTATCAGATTGATTGTCTCTTTCAATACTGGCATACAATTACGTAGAATTTTTACAAGATAGATCAATTTTATGCCCTAAGACCATTCACGGTAATTAAGTCAACTAGGATGAAATCACACTGCTCACTCGAAGGTGAAAATAAAGAAAAAGCAAAGTCAAGGGATAAATTCACCAATTCTAATGAGAATGCACTAGCGAAGTAAAGCACTGCGATTTTACATAATTTCTGAGTAAGCTATTCATACGAATTGAAATAATTCTTGCATTTAAATTTGTATTCCAAACTAAGATTAACTTGAAATCAATGTAAATAATTACTGTGAGAATTAGATTTTTGTAGCGTAGTTTACGTGGGATGAGATCACTTGGGATCAAATGATACGAACCGGCGACTCGAGATGTTGAACCGTGAAAGCATAGTAAATTCTTAAATTAATGCCTTTTTACAAATTTATTGTCTTTATTTATTGGCTTTTTACAAAATATTAAACACTATTAAAATGTTTATGTCTTCAAAATAAAAAATTCTTAGAACTAACATTTGTTAACATTTTTTTATGTGCATACTGTATGTTCTCACCAGTAAAGTCTGCTTGGCGAGATTTGCGCCGGTGAAACGGAAAAGTACCTAAAGTTTCAAGTGTCACTAAGCTTTGTTTAGATTTGAAACTCTTAGTAGAATGATGAAATAATTCAATTCATACACCAGCTTCAGTGTCTTTTTGCTCAGTGGGACCAAAAGTTAACTTTCAAGTTTGTGCAACAAAAAATATCTGCCTATTTGCCCGCTGACCAAGTGGCTTGTTTTGCCATAAAGACTCTAATTTTAATTATAAAACTTGTTTTTAATTTTAAAATAAATTTTAATTATAAAACTTGTTTTTAATTTTTTTGGTGTTTTATGTTTTGCTGTATAATTTAGAATTTTTGATAAAGATGTTTCGAGTTTTTATGTATTTTTGCTTTGTTGCAAAGTTAGAACTAAATTAAATGAATGAGAAATATATCTCTAATGAAATTTCAGGAAATAAGTTAAACAAAATGCTGCAAAAACTGTGTATAATTTAATAGGCCATACAAGGAAGTCATATGGCGTCTATATCAGATATTTTTCTCCGAAATTGTCTGAGAAGAAACACAACTCTCTAGTAGATATGGCAAAAAAGCGAAATTTTACGAAACTTAGTGTCTGAAATGAAGCATTTAACAGCTATTTTTGTATGTTTCATGCATGCTAAATTTTCATCTCTGCCCCTGTGAAACTTAATAAATTCATAATATTGTTCAGAATTTTCCCCTTTTTCTTTTTTAATGTTGCATGGCAAAACTTGTTCAGAATTACTCAATAGGTTAAGCAGAAATGAAAGACTTAAAAGGTTAAGCAAGGAAAATATTGAGGGAAGACTTATTTAAAATGTAACTTTTAAGTTAAATATATTTTACTATGGCATGATACATTATTGACTTTTTTTTGTTAGTAGCAATTTCGTAATGTCTTTTTGAAGTTTGCATAAAATGCATCTTAAGAAGAATTTTTTTTTTGTATTATATTTTTATTTATATCTTTTATTTGTCTCTAATTCAGACTAATGTTTAATTCTTTTGTAGTATTCTTTTGGATGCTGATGGTCATATTAGTCTCACTGATTTCGGTTTGTGTAAGGAAGCCCTCAGTGACCAAAAAGCTTATTCCTTTTGTGGTACAGTTGAGTATATGGCACCTGAAGTTATTAATAGGAAAGGTCATACAACTGCAGCTGATTGGTGGTCTTTTGGTGTGCTTATGGTAATTTTATATTTTATTACCTTCTTATATTATTTACAGTATTATGTATGATGTTATTGCTACAATGGAATGTATAAATTATTATACTGTTGTGCTCCCAGTATCCATGGGTAATACGTTCCCATGGATAAAAGGGAAAATTCTCTAGGATATGTGAAACTGCAAGAATAACAGTGAAAAGCAATATAAAACAAGATATTTGTATAATGTACATAATATGGTTTAATTGATAAATTATGTAAGATATTATTGGCATTAAATAAAATAAAATTAGCTTCCAGTTAACTATTGATCCATTGTGACAAAAGGCCTGAATTGATTTTTTTGATTCTATTCAGTTTCTTTGATAGAGCTGTCAGGTAACACTATTCGAAACTGATGTGTACTCATAATTATAAATGCATATTTCAGTTGAAAACGTGTCATTGGAGGGATATGGGTCTGAACCATGACTTTTATGCTAATTAATTTTCTGTGTAAATTTATTCACATAGGATGAAACTGAAAAAGGACAACAAATAAATCTAGTAATTGCACACAATAATAATTAACTAAAAAATTTTTAAATTTTTTAAAATTAAAGGTGCTATTAGCATCTTCTTGGAGATGTCACAGTTCTAATCACTCTTTCTGTGTGGATTCATCAATCAGATTTTATGTCAGTTTGTGAGATGGTTAATTTTTCCTTGTCAGATCAGATATTGTGATCCAAATTTTTGGTCCCTTGAAGTTTATTAGAGCAGGGTTCAACTGTATTAAAAATAATTTTCAAATCAAGTTATTTGTAGTTACATTGAGGTACATTCTTTAATTTGTGCATGAATACAAATTAAATTTGCATGTAAAACTCCAATTATCATATAGAACTCCAATTATCCGAATCAATTGGGACCGGACCGTATTCTGATAATCAAAAATTCGGATAATTGGATTTTTTTCAAAGAAAGGGTCTACATACTTTTTAATTAATTACTGTATGTATGGTATGTTGAAAATGGAAGAAAAAACTATTTTTAAAGAAAAAGTCGTTTTAAGTAATTAAATGAAAAGGCAACACTTTTATTTACATGTTATATAGCGTACTGTACAATACTTACAAGTGCTTAAAGTCATAGCTTGCTGAACATCTCGGTCAAAATAAGCTGTTTGATGGACACTGCCAGCACTTAAAATATCTTAGTCAGCTAATACTCATTTTAAAGGATGAACAACCAAGCTTCTAAGCTAAGATCTTAGCTTTTTCATAAAGAATCTGACTTGAAATTTGTAGAACATTGCTGCAAAAACCATTTGAAAACGATATCTTCTAAATTTTTGTTTCTTGCTACCTTCATTGATTTTCTTGAAGAACTTTAATCTTCGTTTTCAAGCACGGACATGAAGTTTAAAAGTGTAGGCTTGCTCCTTTTAATGTCTGAAATCGTTGATTATCCAACACTACATTTCCATCTTAATTTTTTTTCTGAAAGCGATTTTGATAATCAGAGATTTGGATAGTCGGAGTTTGGACAATTGGAGTTGTACTGTACTGTAATTTGTGCAGTAGGCTTGAAACTTTTGATCTTCTAATAAATGCTAGAATTCTCGTAGTGTTATTAGTATGTTGCCTAATATTTGCAAATTGGTTTTGAAATTTTCATCTGGCTATAAAAAAAGTTATGTAGATAAGATGTTCTCTTTGATAGCATCAGCTGAAAAGGAAACTTGAATAATGTAATGTACTTTTTTCTATTATTAAAGCATGTCATTGAAGGTTATGTTTCTTTAATTGCTTAATATTTTTTCTGAATTTTCTTGATCCTGCCATTTGGTAAACTATTAAAAATAAATCTCCTAATTCCCATAACTTGAATTCCAAACACATACAACATAATTTAAGTGTTCTAATTTATCAGAGTTCTTTATCTGCTTGTTAATGGCAAAGTTACAAGATTAGACACAAAGGATGTTTTGAGGTTAAATTTTATCACTTTGCTAAACGAGATATTTCCTTTTTGTACTTTCTTTTTCATTCAGATTTTTTTCTTTGATTGCTTTTATTTAAAAACTGAATAGTAGGAGCAGTTCTCTTTTTGCTGCTATTAATAAAGCTTATAAAATTGCATGCTTCTTTGAACAGGCAATTATCTTCTGTCAAAGCACTAACACACTTGCAATCCTGTTTTTGCCCTCACAGTCTGTTAAAAAAATACCTTTTTTTCCTTCATAGGATCATTATCCAAGGTTGTTTGTTTTCTACTAATACAGTAATAAATTAAGTAATTTAGAAATATACAGTTTCTAACTATAAAATCAACTTATGAAGATATTATTTTGGATCTGAATTCTTGGAAATTTCCTTTACTGCTTTGCGCTGATTATGCACTAAGCAAAAACTGAAAATATATTGGAGTTTTGCCTTATTATCTAATATTGTTTACACAGATTAATTCATAGATTTATTCATTTCCTTTTTTTTTTTATTTTTCTGGATAGAAGATACTTATTTATCTGTTGTATTTAAGATGAAAATATTAAAATGCTCCTGCAGCTAGTAGACTGCTGTATGAGTATCAAATTAAGGTAAAGTTTTGATTATTAATTTGGCTATGTAATGATTCAAATTAATTTTTTTAATATGGCAATGAAATTAATGTTTAGTAGTATCTGTAACATTTATTTTTATTAATACACTGCATTCTGAAAGTTAAACATGTGACTGAAATTTCGTGCTTTACAATGTTTGCTTCAGTTTAATAGAGTAAATTATTGTGGAAAGGACTATGTAAATATCATATAATGGGACTAATTAGAATTTATTCTGCTCCAGTATGCAAATTATGCATTATTTAAAGATGTTATGTATTTAAAGCCTTTGAGTAGATGAATTTTAACTGCTGTTTAGATATTTTTTAAAGGTGATTTTGGTTAATTTTTTATTAGATAGCAGTTATGGCTTGAAGAAGATGATTGGATGGTTAACAGCACTATCATACTGTTGGCGTGTTTGAAGAAGGATGGTGAAAATAGTGCTATTTTCTTTTGTGTTGATTACACTAAATATAATACCATCTATAATTTCTTTCCTTTGGAAACAATATTACACAAGTGAATTAGCTATCTAGAGACATATTTTCCATCATCTACAGATTATTGCATAATCTGCTGATAAGTCAGGTTCTAGACTGTAAACTTATGTACTGTACATTTTTGTTTGTCTAAGCATCAAAACTAGAAGATCATAATTGAAGTTGAGTCGTCAATATGCAAATCGGAAATCAGCTAAGTTTTCTAACATTCTATTTACCGATAGGTGAAGCTCTATGCTGGAGTCTAATAATAAGCCTGTGAATATTTGGAGGGAATAAACATAGACCAAGCCCTGTAATATGAGACTATACTTTCAATGCTGGCAAATATTATTGTGTGTTCTATTTTCTTTAAGCTATTACACAAACCTGCATCTTTAGAGCGATAATTACGATGTCTCAAAGGTTGGAATTTTTCACCTTATTGTGAGACTCTATTCTGCTGCAATTGGTCTAGTATTAATTCATTTGGCTATAATACACATTTTCATAGAGCAAACCTGATGGATGTGAAGCTTTACTCTCATGAGTGGCTATTATATATGCCTAACCTCAACCATATTGGAAGTCTTTGATTTTTCCTCAGGTGTGGTGTTTCAGGTCATATATTCTTTCCAGCCACTCTCTCAAAGAGCTAGAAAAATCTGGTATAAAGGAATACCTGTGGAGCACTTGACCACTTAATTGAAGGTATGAAACTTTTGCAGCATTTTTATGAAGGTCAGAGTGGTTAGATGCCTTAAAATAAGTTAATTTATTTGCATAGTTTACAAAAACTTTCAGAACTTTCAGTAATTTCTGATTATCTGCATCCTCCTGAAAAGTATTTGTGAGACAATGTGCTGTGTCACCAAAATAGGCAACCCATGACAATGCCAAAATGTATTTATGTAGCAAACCAGGTTTGTGCATGCACGCAGCAGATGAGCACAGATTTCCACCTTCAAATTTGATGGGCATTAGTTTTGTTTCTGTTGCATTTAGTGCATTTTTTCATGTAAAGATTTCATAATGGGACTTAGGAGTTTGCTGGCTGATGAAAACATTTCTTCACATTACATTTCACAAAGCATTACATTTCTTCAGAAATATGGCATTATGTCTAATGCAAGACATTCAAAAATTTGCATTTCATAGAGCTTTTCTATATAAATAATTGAATTTTTATAAAGAAAAACTTTAAGCACGAATGCAGAATTTGTGCAGTTCTTTGATTTTTTTTCCAAAGCAAAAACATATGACTTGTGAAATCAGTGGTGAATGCATTGCTGCTAAATTTGTGTAGCTCTCTGATGCTTTTTAACCCTCTCACTGCATATTTGTTTTATCAAAATAGGTTCAAAAATTGCATACATTTTATTACATATTTCAAATCTACATATATTTTAGAGTTAAAAAACAAAGGTCAAACATATATACTTATGAGAATATTTGCATAATGTAATATTTTGCATATCAATTTTGCGCCACTGTCGAACGTTTTCAATAGAAACTGAATTTTCAAATTCATCACTATCTGCAGAGGAATCCAAGTAATTCTCTTCAGTTTCGCTGTAACTATCTTCAATATACTTGAATCAGAGTCAGAACTACTATCAGTGTCAGAAATAGTGTCAGGAATATAGGTTATATCACTCAAAACGTTTCCTGCCAGACATTCTTTGAGCTCTGAGAAGCGCACGCAAAATGCTACATTACGTATTCTTGTAATTTTGGCAGAAATGTGGACAACTAATGCCATCTGTTAGCCCACATTTAAATAAACAATAAAACATCACAGAAAAGCCGAAAGGAAATCTTGAACAGGGAAAGAACGGGTTGCTTGGTTAAATAGACGGCAAAAATTCATCCCCGCAGAAATCGCGGGTTGCGCAAATTTTGCTACTTCTGCGTTGCCCGTGGAAATCATGAGATGCGCAGTGAGAGGGTTAAGCAGAAAGAGATTGCTGTTTATGTTGAAAAAACAGCAGCAGAGACGAAATTTACATATGGATTTTTTTTCAGAAAGGTAAGTGTTTTGTTATGAATACTTCTTGCTTTTTAAATTTTATTGAGTCATTGATGCTTTATGGAATTCTTAATATTCTGCAATTTTCAAAATGGCTGTTGTCTTTCGTATAATATTAACTTAATAAAAAATAAGTTGCCGACTTTTCGAAGGAGCATGTAATAATCAGAAAGTACCTAACTTTTCCTTGAATGTACCAAATGTGATGTGTGTGTGTATATGTATACATCATAGCTGCCAACTCTTCCAGCTTTTCATCACATCTCCTGGTTTCCCGTAGATCACTGAATCTCCCAGATTTTAAATTTTAGCCTTTTCTAATAAACGAAATTCCAGCAATAAACGTTTTAGAGCACTAAACAAAATTTATTGAAATATGAGACATAAGTTAGGAAAATTCAATTTTTCTGCTTCTAATGATTTTCAGAATTTTTCTTATTAAATTTTATTTCATCTGAACTGTATTTTTCTTCTTATTACATTTTGTTGACCTAATTAAATATTTCTAATTAACTTTTTTTATATGAGTAGTAGTATTCTACTGTAGTCATTTGTAGAAATTTTATATAAAGATTCAAGCAATGTTTAATCCAGGGATGACCAAACTTCATGATCACAGAAGCCACATAGTTAGATTTCATGAATATTTGGGAGCCGCAAATACCGTTTCAAAAATAATAAGACATGTTTTCAATGGAAACTTTTAGTTTAGTAAGTAAATTGATGAGAATTTCGCATTTTACATGATCAACATGGTTATATATAAATATCAATAAATATTTTTTTCTCCTGCCCTGTATTAAGAAAAAGAAGTCCTAATAAAATATAAATTTGAAATTACTGTATTACAGTTGAGTGTTCTCAACTGTAACAAAAAGAAAAAGTTTGCTTTTGCTGTATGAAAGAATACAGCAAAAGCAAACTTTTTCTTTTTGTTTCTTTTATCCTCATCCTTTTATAATTGTTGTTTGATTTTAGTAGAAGTAGGCTAATATTGGAAGCATATATATTAGTCTTGTGAAACATTTTAATTTGAGTAAATTATAAATAATTAATTAAAGAAAACGTGTTTTTTTTGTTTAACTCAAAAAGAAGTCTTTTGGAAAAGTAAGTGAAGTAATGCAAGTCAACATGCATTGCAAAGAAACTTTTATTCAAAAAAGAAACTTTATTTAAAAAAAAAAAAAAAAAAAAAAATCAACTTTTTTAGTTTTTTGCATAAAAATTAATAATTTTGTTTCTTCACCACAGTCAGCATACTGAGACCAAATCTAGCTTTAAATAATTGAATTAATACATTAGATGCTAAATGGATTACAAGTTACATTTTGATTTTTCTTCAGATATTCAAATCCTCAGATCTCAGAAATTTTCAGATAGATTTTGAATTCCATTCATCAAATCTTTTTCCATCATTCGAATGTTTTGAATCCCAACCTTACATCCTGCGAAATCTGCTGGAATTTTTATGTAATATTTTGTGCATTGTTGAAAATTCTTGAAACTTCCTGTCTCGAAACTATCCCAATAAACTTTCTTGAATAAAAGTTCATAAATAACATATTGCCAATAAATCTAGTGGTTTATGCCACAATATAAGGCTATGTAGTTTAGCGGCCTACCTGTCGAACACCTCAGCCATGGCTGTTGAATTTTGAGCTAATTTTCAAATACAAGGGAAATCAAAACTAATGGTACAAAAAGAAAACATACATATAACTATTACAATGAATTTATTTCACAAATGCAGATATAATATGATAGTTTAATTCTCCAAATTTCTATGGACATGTACAGATATGGTAGAAGTCTACACAATAGTTAATTCTTGAGCTATTTCTACACATATGTACGGATCCATCATATTCAAATTGACAACTGTTGGACCCATAAAGACTATCATTTGACTTAATGTTTTGTCTTAAATTTCTATGTAGAATAACTCCAACTCAGAAGAAAGAATAAAATAAAACATTTTTTTCTTTAATCTTCAACCTAATAGTTACACAATCTATGTATAGGGGGAAAAATACAAAATGGAGTTTCGAATGAATTTTTGAAATGGAATCTATGCATATGAAGGTATTATAATCGCAGAAAATAAAAGATTAGTCTTACAACTGAAAATATACAGGGTTAAATACAACAAAATTTCACATTACATTGCTTGAAATTTATGGTGATCAGCCAGTGGATCATAGCACTGCAACAATCCTTTGGGCTACAGAGCTTTCGTAAAGAATGTGTCAGACGTACATAATGATCAAAGATTAAGAAGATGAAAAATGTCAACATATTTAAGAAACATAATGCCGGTACCAGAGCCAGGGTAACCGGTGTAACGTCACTGAATGGCAGAACTAAAGGTGAAAATTTTTATAGGGGGAAAGGGGCAAAAAGTATCTCTATCCTATCATGATATTTGTAAGAAAGAAGTTCGTCAAGCAACGTACGAGAAACTAGCAAAAGTTAAAGGGATTTCATCTGCATCAGTATGCTGTACTTTGATAGAAGTTTTGTAGAAGAGAGACATTTATATCCAGTTGATCCTTCATTGCTTGATGCAACATGAAGTTGAAAGATTTGTATCTTGAATGACAACAACTGACAAAATGTGAATTGAAAACTTTGAGCAGAATTAAAATCGTTGTCAAACAAATAGTTCTGCTTGAGATCTCAAAAGTTTTAGCATGCTCAAATATTGATTAAATAAATTATGATTTCTCCATAGAATTACCAGGGAATTATTATGGAAGGTAGGGTTTCATGAGAAAAAATTTTTAACTGCAGTTTACTGTGATGTCTTGCAAAATATGTGAAGAAATTGCATAAAAATGATTTGACTTGCTTAGGGATGCATAATTAATTTTGAAGGACACCTGCACTTGAGAAAATTGGGCAGATAGCCTAACCAAATAAGAATGAGAAAGTGTACTTTACCAATCCTAAAATCCCCAGATTTCGAATTCCTCCTCAGATTGAAAGAGCTGTACGTGGGCAGCGACTTTTCTCTTTGAAAGAGATTTTTTTCAGCTACCAAAGTAATTCAAGGACTGAATAAATGTAGTATTCTACAAAGAATAGCAAATCTTCCAACACATTGGATAGCAACTGTTGTAAAGCAAGGGAATCACACAGAAAAAATGTAAGCAGAAACTGCCTGAAATAAAATTAAGAGAGAAAAAAAGCTAAATTTTAGGCTTTTTTGACAGCCATTATATGCTCTAAAAGTAATAAGCCAATTGACAGAAATGGAATTTTTTGTAATTTTCTGTTTGTTACTCTTACAATAATTTTAAGGCGGACAGTTTGAAATAGATTAAATTATTACACACAATATAAAAAATTAAATTAGCGATTAATAAAGAACCATGTCATTATTATTTCAACAAAGCAATTATATTTCAAAAGCTAAACAACTGTTTGTTGCAAACAAGTCACATTCCAGAGAGTAAAGGGCAGCAAGTAGCTCGTGAGCTGCAGTTAGGGTGCCAGAGAGACACAGTTTGGCCATGCCTTGTTTAATCAATTAATATTTGTGTTGAATTTTTTTTACTTTGATATTTGCCACGTTACTATGTTCATCCAAGCAATATACACAAAATTAATTATTAATTTTATTTTCATGGTATTTAAAAGTAGTTTGATAAATAAAGGCTTTGCTTTCACTATAAAAGTGCAAGAAAGTTAAAAAAATGAAATTACACATAGAGCATAAAATTTAGAATATCCAATCAAATGCTGTTATATTGTACATCAGAATTGAATTACAAATAGTTCAGTAACCTGAACCATGCATTATAAAATCAGTTTAAAATTCCTTTGAAATAGTGTTGCTGTGCAGCATGAAAACCTCCTAGGTTTGTCTCAAAAATCTCCCAGTACTTAAGATTTCAAGGTTGGCAGCTTTAATGTATAAATGATTAGACATAAACTTGAGTATGTTTCATTTTTATAACTTTGCAATTACGAACATGTATTAAATTGCCTACTTTCATGTGAAATTTTGAGTGAACCAAGATGTAACTTTTCCATTTGCATCATATTTACTATTGTATAGTTAACTTTTGGAAAGCAGTGTATTTTTGAGAAATTTGTGCAGTTTAAACAGTTTAGTTTAAAATAATTTAATAATTTTGAATCACAATTGTATATATGTATGCCAGATGAAGTTGTATGATGTATTTTGGAATTTTATTAGTTTATTCTATTATTAGCTTTTTCATATAGATCTTTGAAAAGCCATTGAATTGAGAGAAAAATTTTAAACAAATATAACTTCATTATACAGTAAAAGTTATAACTTGTTTTATTTGATTGACTTCTTTATGTACTAAATAAGATGAAAATGATCTGTACCTAATAACTAAAAGTTAACATAATAAATTAATATAAAATTTTAATCTATCAGATTGGATTAATTGAATATATATACATACCTATGTAACACATAATAAATACTAATTGATGGTATATTACAGTAGAAATTATTTTAGAATTTTTTGATTTTTATTTAGTTTGAAATGTTAACTGGTGCCTTGCCATTTCAAGGAGCTAATCGAAAAGAAACAATGATGCAGATCTTAAAGTATGTATTGAACAATAGTGTTCCTTTTATTTTTTAAAAACTGAAACTGAAAATTAGAACTGAAAATTATGCATCTGTGTGTTGTGTTGTGCATGGTATTTGAATGAAATTCTTTTCCAGGGCTAAACTGGGGATGCCTCAGTTTTTAAGTCCTGAAGCTCAGAGTCTTTTGCGTGCGTTGTTTAAAAGAAATCCTGCCAACAGATTGGGTAAAGTGTACTTGTTTTGTATTTTTAATTATTTGTTTATATTTTCAGAATGTTAAAAATGCACCACCACATTCATTATGATTAGACTGTAATGGTAAATTTAATAAAATTAAATCTACAATTACTTTATTTATGATTATGGGGAAATTCCATAACTTCAAACAAAATGCAATTGCACTACTTTGGTTATGGAAAAATATAATCACAGCATACAAATAATTTAATAGATTTTTTACCCTCTGTTTTGATTTCACATTGTCAGCCATTAATCAGGGGTTCCCAACCTGTTTTTCTCCACACAGGGCTTTCACCATTGCTTTCTGTCATAAATTTTGTATGAAATTAATAATTAATAATTTTTATTAAATATTCTTGATTAAGAAATCTGCACTGTCAGTGTCAGAAACTTTGTGTATTAGAATAAAGGAAGAAAATTATGTACATTTTTTATTTCTTTTTTGATGTGTTACCACTTTACTGATAACAGGCTTAATCATTTTGCTCATAAATGCTGAGAGATTGTTCTTGCATTTAATCTCTCTTATTCAGAAAGTGAGTTTTAAACGTAATTTTATTCCAAATAGTGCTAACAAACTTATAACTGGTTTGTATTTTTAGAGAGCTTGGGAGTTAGTATAAAATTTGATAACAAAATTATTCAGAGCTTTGTTTCATATTTAAAAATTGTAACTTTAACTAGACACACACACATACACCCCACCCCCCAAAAAAAAGTGACAATTTAAAAAAATATATTTTTATCTTGTGCTCATAATTTGTTGTATGCAATGGCTGTTGCCAACTGGTTATTGTACAGTATATGGTGAACTCTGTTTAGAACTAAAAGTTGTTACTGACAGGTAATACAGTCACAAGTCATTAATCCGGACTCGTCAGGAACTTTGATGATTTCGGATTATCGATTCTTTTGGATTATAGATCATCAGTTTAAATCTGGTAAGATGGCATGCAGAAATTATAAAATTAAAAATATGAAACCGTAATTTATGAAATAAAGAACAATTATGATCTAAAGGGTATCAAATTTACAAAAAAAAAAAAAGCTTAATATTTATTTGTTTTACTTTATTAAACATTTCTTTCAAAGTAAGTTGTTTTAAGTTGCTTCGTTTTATGTGATAATTTCTTTTAATTCTATAAACGACATAATTTCTTGTTCAGTTAAAAGTTCTGTTGTTCAAGTCCTATAATTGCTGTGTCGAGAATACCGACTAATTTGTCAATCGAAATTTTTTCGTTTTCAATAACCTCTGTGTCACTTCTTCACTATCGGAAGCAAAATTAAATGATGAGAATTTGATTTAAATTATATCAAAGACGGAATACTCGAGATGAAAATAGATTTGGTAAGAAACTAAGCCAAATAAAATGAAACATGCCTGAAGATAAGGTAGAGTGTGACAGATCAACTTCCAATTCATTGCGCGCGCAACCCCCCCCCTTTAGAGCAGCATGAATTGATAAACAGATTCGGAATGGTAGGCATTTTTTGCAGCAATTCCACTTTGTTTAATGGACTTCGAAACATACTTTCGCTTTGTAGATCTTACATATTGTAAATATATATCGGAAATTTTTGGACATAATCGAAAGTTAAGTTACTTTTATAAAATTGCTCTAAACAGTCTGCAAAAAATAATAAGCCGGATAAAATTCGAAATTAAGGAACAACGCAATCTGCAACATTAACTGAATTAGATAATTTTAGCTTAGCTTATACCGTCTGTTATACATTAAATTCGCATATTCGCAGTCGTAAAGGTCTTACGCGACGCATGCACAGAAAGTTTGTAGCTTTGAGGTCCGGATTATAGATCATTCTGGATTATGGGTGTCCGAATTAACAACTTTTGACTGTAATGGGTTATAAAAATGCACTTACAAATTTCATTCATAAAATACTTTTTAAACAAATATTTAAACATTCACTTTATTGTTCAAATATTGCAAATGCAATCATACAGGCTGAAAACATATCAAATCATGTCAAACATTTTTTCACAAATGTTGGTTCAAGTTGCATGTAGGTTCTCTTTTCTATTCCAAGGGGAAAATATTACTGACTATCAATTTATTCTTAAAACATGACCACAAATCTATACTTGTTGCAGTATTCATTGAGTATGAGCAGCGTGCTCTTCTAGTATCTACTATTGCATATTCTTTAGCATAAATTGTTCATGTTATGTTTTTATTATCTGATCTGCATAATGTGATTGAGTTTTAATGAATAATATGATATAATATGTGTATGGTAAGTATAATTTTTTTTTTTTTTTTTTTTTGTGTGTGTGTGTGTGTGTGTGTATGTGTGCAGATTTAGTACATTCAAAATGCATGTAATATAGCATTATTGTTAGGATTGAGGGGCACTCAAAAAAAGGCAGTAAGCCAAAAAGGGTTGATAGGCTATGCTTTAAATTCTGTCTTGGCTAGTCTTGGAGTAAAGGCTTTTCTTATTCAGGCAAGTAGAAATATCCCAGTTTCCTGTAAACTTCATACTACTCATTAGAATATGAGCTTTTATTGCTGTGAAGTTTGTTAGTTGTTGTTGAAGCTGCCTTAGCCACAGTGTTTGAAAATTCCTAAGGGAATGAGAGACATTGATTAACAGGAAAATAAAGTTCATTAAGGGAACTGTAAGAACATTCAGTTGCTAATCTGGTTTCTTAGGACTAAAAATTATGCAGATTCTAGGGTTGGAAAAGTTAAATGTATGTGTGCTATTTTTATATATTGATTTTTTTTAAAATAAAATATATCTTAATTTAAAATCTTTTGCAGCATCTGGTCCAAATGGTATTGAAGATATGAAAGTCCATCCATTTTTTGGAACAATTGATTGGGTGAAACTGTACAACCGAGAAACTAAACCACCATTTATTCCTGCAGTTTCTAGATCAGATCATACCGCTTACTTTGATAAGGAGTTCACTACTCGAACACCAGAAGGTAACAACATATTTATCAAATTCATTATTTTAAATGATTTTCTACTTTAATTTCTGTTTTTTGTTGTTTAGCTGTTCTGTCTGACATTGTTTAGCCAATATTTAGTTTTTAAGATGAGTACTGTTCATATAATATGTAAACTGCATAAATTAAATGAAGGTACACTCTGATTTTTGTTACAGAAATGACTGTAGTAAAATGAAGGTTGCCATGACTATAGAGCCATGATGGTGTTATTTTATAGATGAAAAATAACTGTAAATTATAGAAATCTGGAAACTTTACAAATTTTATGCAAGTCCCAATAAGCATTGTATAATCAAGAGTTCTAAAGAATTTTATGAGTGTTTGAAGAGTTTATGTTGTTTAATTTTACATGTATTAAAAATGGGCTAGTATTGGGTATTTTAAAATTATGGATTAATACACTGGAATTCTGCTTTGACAAATTATCAATGTAACTGTGCATCTTATCATATTATTTGAAGGAATCGATAAATTCAAGTGAAATTTCCTTCATAGGGAAAGATGGAAAAGAAAAGATGGGCTTCTCAACTGTAGAGCTAATGCAGAATAGTCTGAAGAGTTTGAATATCCTCTGCACATCTTGCATGTTTTTATGTATGCCATATATTCTGATCTTTATATAATTGAACCTGTCTGGAGTAGGGCAGTTTTCTTCATCCAGTAGTAGGGCAGAGTTCAAAAAAATTTTCTTCATCCATCTCCACAAAGAGTAATAGTCTCTGTTTTTGAAAGAAGAAAAGACTTGTGTCTGGGATTTCAAAGAATAATTAATGTAATACTTGTTATCATTTAATATTTAATATGTATTTCATACTCATTCAATACTTATCTGTGATTCTACAATATTTTGATTAGGTATTCCATCTTCAAACATAAAAAGTTCCATGTTGCATGTAAAGTGCCATACCCAACTAAGAAGTTTTTATGATTTAGAGGGAATAAATTGCAACAATGATACTCAAGAAATAGGTGATTGGCATGTACAGTTTTCAGTGTCAGAGATATACAGCATGCTGAGAAAATGCATGTTCTTACAATATATAGGGAAATGCCAAAATGAGAGGTTTACTAATAGATCGTGAGCCCACCAAAATGGGGCTTGAAATATATTTAATATTACACTTTAGATGCATATGTTTTAACTTTGTGGTCATACTTGTCTATATATTCTTCAACTATCAATTTCCTGCACAACAGTATTTATTACAACAAATAGCCTTTATGATTAGTAAAGAAAACATTGAATGATATACTGAAGAACAGTGTTGATTATTTTTGCAGCTGAAGAAGATGATGTTGTTGAATTATTGAAAGCACTTCTGCTAAAATAAAATCTACGTCAATCAACATTGTTTTTGTTTCACTCAACATTACTTGCATCATTTTTTGTCAGCTCTTAAAAAGCTTTGTATTGGAAATTTATTATTCTGAACAAAAAATCTAGCATTTTTACTTATGTATATTTATTGTTTAATTATTTTCTCTTCTTGAACATTAATGCTTTAATTTAAAGATTCTCCCGGTTGTCCCCCGAGTGCCACAGCACACGAACTTTTCCGAGGATTTAGTTTTATTGCTCCTAGTCTGGATGAAAATAGTGCCATGAATAGTGAAAATAATCAGAAAAATCAAGTTTGTGTAAGTTATTTCTTTCATAAATCAAGTTTAAGTTGTAGATTCTTATTTGTTTTCAATAATTAAGGTTTTATAATATTATACGTACCTCATAGAAAAATATTTTACCCAGACGTATTTACGTGATTTAAAAGTCTGATTTGTAAGCAATAGTATAGTTTAATGATGATTGTTTTAATTTAGAAACCTGAAAGAAGTTTTGTAGTGAAGGAATTTGTATTTAAAGAATATGAATTTAAAGAAGAGCTCGGCAGAGGCTCATATTCATTATGTAAGAAATGTATATATAAAGAAAATGGAAAGGAATATGCTGTAAAAGTAAGTCTTAATATTAAAAACTTTGTTTAATTTCATTTACAAGTTGTGCTTTTTATGCTGGTATACTGGAGATACAAGGAATATGTTTGCTTTTAATTTTATTTGAATCCCTTATTTGCTGAATTAATATCAAATGTTACATATACATGTACTTTATTTCCTCCTATGGATTTATGTATTTTATTAATATGTGTGTAATGGATAGTATTGCATTATTTTCATTGTTTTGAAGAAAGTAGAAAAAATTTAGTTTCGTACAGTTGTATATGTGGCATATGGAGTATTAAATAAAGGTTGTCGGGTAAGTATCTTTCAAATAGTTGATCACAAACTAATGCTTCCAGTTTTAAAAGTAAATCAAATGATGTAGACTTTAATAAAATATGGCAGCTTTTGTTATACAACACCTGTCATGCAACAATATGTAGTGTTTGGTATGTATGCTTTGCAGAGAGGATTTCAATATGCTGTTAACTTCTTTAGCTAGAAAGGTTTTTTGGGTTTGGAGATGATTGGGTAAGATCAGGAGCATTCACTGCCTTGAAAACATTGTCAACAGTATATACAAAAGTTAAATTTAACAATATCTTGGTTAGTTTTGATTATATTTGGATAACTTTGGGTAATTTTTTCTATTGGGCACATTTACAAATTTCTTTTGTTTGACTAAAGCATGAGCAAAATTATCTGAAAATCTTATCTGATTTGATTCCAGGCACAGAGATTTTGGTCATACCATCTTGCCAATTAAGTATTTTCTTTTCTAGAGTTTTTTAAGAGTTCTTTTCTAAAAGTTTTGTATGTAATTTTTTTGAAGTATTCACATATGTAGTACTAATTTTTGTTGGAAAATCCATTTTATGTCCCCCCTCCCCAAGAAATCTATTGATTTGCACAGTTACGAAGTGGGCATATATGTTGCTATAACAATCTTGTTTGTCACATTTCCAGAAAGTTATCATTTCAATAGAATTATATGTGTGAAAATCAAAGCTATGTCCATTATATGCAAATTTTGAATTGGATTTATTTGGACAGTATTTTGCTCATTTCCATTGAAGCTATAAGCATGAGTTTAATTATAAAAAAGAAATGAAACTGACTGCTACAATAACTTCAGTGCAGGCTTGAGAAGCTTATTACTTTTTAGCACATGACAATGCATAATAATGGTGAGCAAAACTGCTCTTTTATGATATTAAGTTAGACATATATGTTCACTGACCGCTGACAGTAGCCTTGATGAATAAGATCAGTAATGGAGAGCGATATCCGAGGATGGAACAAAGAGCAAGAAAAATTGAAGGATGAGTTGGAACAAGAAAATTAACGCATTTGAACTGTTAACTCCTCAGATCGATTACTTTCAACAGTAGTTCTGAGATTCCATTAAAACCTCCTTTCTGCATAGAACTAACTTTAAAATTCTGGAATAAAAAGTGTTGGGAAATGAACTTTTAAATTAGAAGGAGAAACATTTCTTTCTTCCTGAAAATTGGAATTGAAATTTTCTAGCTCTCTTTCAGCAAGAGTTCTCAAAGCAGTTAACACTTGGTTTGTATTGGTAAAGGGAGTGTGAGCCAGGGAGTCAATATAGGGAATTATTTCTTCAAATCAGTTCGCGAGTGCATTGCACATCCCTAATGCATAATGCGCATGGTATAGGTTCCACCCCAGGCACATTGCATTGAGTGATAATAATGATAATCGCATTGAGTTACCTGTAAAACACTATGGGGAGATAATGCTGCAAACATAATTACAATAATTACAATAATACAAACATAATACATAAATACAACCGCCATTGATAGAGTGAAAAGAAAGCTGAGTTCAAATATCTGGCCTCAGAGTTCAAATTGCAGTGAACTGGCTAGCTGCATAAGCATTTTTGTGGTTTTTAGCAAGTATTGTGGAAGATGAATGCGAGACAGTGACAGTTTCTCTTAGAAAATCTTCTATGAAGACATTTTTGTTATTTAAGCAGATGGCTTGAAAAGTGAGTAAATAAACAAATGATTTAAATACATGAGTAAGCAGATTGTTGAAATTTGGGGAATAAGAACAAGAGATTCCTGAACCTTTTTTTTAGTCTTTAACTTATACTACAATAATTTTAATTCTGTCTATGTTAAATCTCTTTAGAACTTCCCTATCTATTATAATTCTTTCTTGAATTAGCTTTCAGTATACATTCGACATATATATAAGCATTCAAGTGATCGTCAGTCACCGATTAGGGCGACCAAATTTTTATTCGTTTCAAAGCATTTAATAGTAATTATAGTGCATTGATGAGACAAATAAGATTTGGTTTAGATTCTGGGCACACAAAGACTCTCTGCCTAAGGGGATAGATGCCTTCATGGAGGAAAGGAAAACTGGCTTGTATTCATATTACTGTGTGGAAAACCATGAAAACGTTGATGCAGCCAACCATCTCACTGAGGTTTGAACTCGGGTCAAAACACCAGCATTCAGCGATTTTACTGTTCAGCTGTTTGTGGGTGATAAAGAGCCTATTTTGTTTGTGGAAAATATTGTTGTTGCCTTCATGGAATCTTTCAGTACTAGCTGTTTCATGTTCTTAATCTTTACTTATTATCTCCAAAATCTGTGCCAAAATTCCATCTTTCTTTCAAAATTTTCCATATTGCAAAATTTACAAAACACTGTACCTTTTTGCTAAACTTTTCGTCTTGTATTTTTTACATAACCATAGGGCAGTAACAATAAGTGCTAATGAAACTGCCTTTGGAAAATCTTTTCCCCATTGATGATATTATAAAGAATTCAGAAGCATAATTAATAGAGATCTCTTCTAATATTTATCAATTTTATATGTTTGAGCATGGGTTGAAAGATGTTGCTGCACTTAAAAGTCCTCGGCATTCGCAATTCAGCAGCAGCCTTTTGAATTATATACTTGCAGGTGACACAATATCCTGATATAAAATATCTGTTTCTTCACAGTATTCTGTCACGAGCATTAAAAATCTATTAATACAGGCATAGCATTTATTTGGATTTCTTGATATCACTCAAGGTTGAAAATTCCAAAAGGGGGGGGGAAGATGATTGATGATACATTAAAATTTTTTGTGACTACTCAGGTTCAATAGATTGTTAATAATCTCAGTGATGTTTAGAAAACTTAATGAATGATAAGTGACATTTTCTATTTAAGGGGAACTTTTTGCTATTTATTCCTGTTTTTTTAATATATGCATTCAAAAATTTTACAACTGCTGTAATACACCAAAAAGAAAAGTACCTTGTGACAAATGGTTTTTATTTCTTTTAACTCGGTAAATCCCTTTACACTTCATTTTTTTTTTACCGTGTATATTAGTCTTATAATAATGGTTTTGACCATATAAGTCATTTAAATTTATATCAAAATTACCAGGTTCTCCACCTTTTTCTCCCTTAAGCTGAGTTTTGATTTATTATAAATTACATGAATTATGCATGTATTTTTAGATTGCTTAGTAAAAAATTAAACAACAGGACCTGATCACTGTCTAGGCCCCAAGGTTCAGGTTTGGGCCACATTTTAGAAGGCCCGAAATTTCTCATAACGCTGCTGCAGTTCTGTTGCACAAAAAGAAAGTAAGCATTGGCGGACCCTGAAAACGTACTGTGCTTAGGACTGCGTGAATTGGGCTCAATGAACAGTAACTGACATTTATTGTGACAGATCTTTGATTAGGTTGAAGTTGTCATTTGTGTTAAGGCCACCGTAGTTACAGATAGTAAGTTGCAAGTGCCCAGGCATTTGGTTTTTTTAAAAAAAGTTATGATTAGTAATAGGATACAAAAACTTAAGATTCTAAAAATATTTCGTATATCTGTCATATCATTTACAAAGCTAAAAAACTGGTAATTGCATTAAAATGTTCTGAGTCACTATATGATGGTTGTTTCAGATTGACTGATTGAAGATAAAAAAATATATAATTGCACTCAATTTTGTATGTTTCTTGTCAGGACCGGATTTAGATTTGACGAGATCCTAAGCTATTTGGGATATAGGGCCCTTTATAAGGTATTGTCAATAAGTCAATTTGTAATTGTTGTATTGTAAGTCAGTTTGTTTGATATGGTATATGGTACAAATTTTGGGAGTGGCCCCAAGAAAGGGGGGGCTCTAAGCTATAGCTTTTGCAGCTTATATGTAAATCTGGCATCTGGATGGTGTGCATTCAACATCTGGTGGTTCTAGGTGTCACCATTTTCTGCAATACGAGCAAGACACAAAAATACCTTACATACATAGTCTTCATTATTTAATAGTAAAGCTAGATCAGTAGGGAACATTTAATAGTATAGAATATAGGGAAATAAAAAAATAATTGCATAGTTAAATATCTAAATGGGAATAAAAAGGTGACTAAAAAAAATTAAACTATTATATATTGTTAAAATTATAGACATGGTTGGAAAAGTTTTTTTTTTTTAACTTGCAAAAGAATGAGTATGCTTTTTGGAAAGATTTGAAAAGAAATGTGGAAATTAATTTAAAAGGAATAGTTTATGAAAATAACACTTAATCAATGTACGTGCAGGAAGTTATGTATCATAATAGTTAGCAGTAATTATCTTGAAACACGTTTAGCTGTTATTTCAGGTATATCAATTTGTAGCGTCATTTACTATGCCATTCTTTTTACTTCATTTCATATGTAATTGAAATGTAATATTACATTTTCTGTTTGTGTGTACAACTGTGTGTACAATTACATAAATTTTACATTTTTTATTTATTATATAATTTTCACTTGTAAATATAGTTTGTAGTATAGCATAAATTTGATGGATAATTATCATGAATGATGGCTGTTCTTTATTTTTCTTACAGATAATAGACAAATCTAAAAGAGACTGTGATGAAGAAGTGGAAATTCTTTTAAGATACGGACAGTATCCAAATATTGTTACGCTATATGATGTAAGATCATTTCTCATATTGTCTTTTAGCCAATAACAGTTTAACTTGCAGAATAGTTACAATAAGGTGTTGATTATCTGAAGAGGTTCAAGATCAAAACACTGAAAGTGACAAACTCAGGGATGGGACAATAAACATTAAAAATGCAAAAACTGGTGGAAGAGCCTAATTATGGGGAATGAGGAATTAATAAGTGTTTCAGTTTTGATGCACGTTATCCTGAATATTCCTGATGCAGGTATTGTCCCCATATACTAACTATCAATAAACATCATACCCCACAGAATTCCAGACAATCTCTGGAGTCCAATTTTTTCTGTTTAGACAAAATTTAAATATATAGATTTTTTTGCCTTTGATATACGAGTTTACTCGTATAACTATTGCACACTCTACTTCATTATCATGTTTTGATCCAGCTGTATGAATTTCTGTCATGGGCTGTTTTTCATTTTTGTTTTCCATTTTAAAACAGGTATAGGTCTGGATATTTTGATTGATGAACAAAGGTGTTCTGCAAGTTCATAATCTGGTGCCTGTATTTGTAGATTTCCAAATGTTGAATTTTTGCAAAAGAGGAATACTTGATCTTTTATTGCTTCTTTTTCAACTGTGTGGAATAGAGATAGAATTCCTATCAATGTATTTAAAGCTTTTTGATGTAGTTATGTATAGTCTAGTAATGTTTAATAAGAATGGCCTTTGAATTGCTCCCTATTTTAATATTTTTCTTGTGTTTAATAGGATTGTCCAGTTGAACCTTTGCATTTTTCTAATATTCTGTGCAATTATTGAAGATTTTGTTGTATGTATTGTAAATGTTGCATTTAGTTTAATTTGTGATCGGTGACAATTTCAAGGAATTTATGTTTTAAAATTAAAACTTTTTTGTTTATTAAATATTTGGGAGCTTTGGTTATTTTGACCAAGTTTATTGAATATTAAAGCATGTTTAGCATAAAATGTTAAAGGTCTTGGAGGTTTTGTTTACATTTTTCATCATTATTCCACTTGTTCTTCCATTAATAATGAATGTGGTATCACCTGCAAATGCTGTTATTTCATTATGGTCAGACCAATTGTGTGATTTTATTAAATGTTACGTCCATGGATCAGCACTGAGACAAGATCTCTGAGGGTAACTGTATTTATGGTCTTGTTCAACAATTGCATTTTTATATAGCATGAGATTTTTTTTCTGTTCTTTAGAAAGTCTTCTAAAATTTGAAATATATTTCTTAGACATTAAATTTTCCTAAGTGTCTGCTTTACTGCAGGCCCACATGAAGTAAAAATGTTTTCCACAGATCGAGATACGGAAGGGATGGATGATGTTTCTTCTCTTTGTTATATTGATCTATGGCCACATTTATTGCATTTATTGTAGATTTGTTTGGTGAAAAACCATACTGGTTTTTGCTTATACAGTTTTTGTTGAAAAACCAGAATTTTGAGGATTTTCCCCAGTGCTGGAAGAAGATTTATTGGTCAGTATGCTGAGCTTTCAGAATCTTGATCTTTTTTGAAAAATAGGATTATTTGTCTTATTATTTAGGCAGTCTGGAAATGTAGTAGATTTTAAACATTTATTCAGGAAATCAGTAAGGAGCATGGGACATTTTTTTTAATTATTTCATAGATGTTATTGCATGATCCATCTGGTCCATGAGTTTTTTTATCAGGCAGTTACTTGATTGTTGTTTTAATTTCTTTCTTTCTTCCTGTCTCTCTCTCTGTAGGTATTTATATTTATTTTAACTAACAGTTTAAAGTTTGAGTTTAGACCTTTCCTGTAAGCCTTCATTCCCCTAATAGTCAGGGCCAGAATAATTAAATGTTGTAGCCCCCCCCCATGAATGAATGCAAATTTTCTATTTTGAAGTAAGTAGTTAAAAGCCGAGTTTTGGTAGGAGAAGAAAGAGTTATGCTTTAGCCGCCGTCTCTGCTGTAGGTACGTTTGCTTATTGCTGGTTCAAGTGGCTTTAATTGCATTTATCTGCTGCCACTAGCTTCAAAGGAGGGTTAAGTTACGGGATCTTGCTGAGCCCTGTAGGCTAGTTTTATCACTTATTAATATTTCAACTTTTAGTTTCAATTATTTGATTTTCAGTTACCACCCAAGCAGAAGCGAAGTTTGTTAGCGTCGAGTTGACACATTCTAACTTTTTTCAAAGATTTAATAAAGGGTACTTTAACCTTTCCTCTGTGTAGTTTTCTGCTGCTCCAGTATTCAGACAGAAATTCATTCACTGTACTCTCTCTCTCTCTCTCTCTCTTTTTTTTTTTTTTTTTAAGGTGGTCTTCCCCCCTTTTTTTAAGGTGGTCTCTTTTTTTTGGGGGGGTGGGGGATGCTGGAATTTGTTCTTATAGCTTTGTGTTCCAAGATGACTTCCTCATTAATATCTTTTTGTAGAGCTGCATCTATTATGTCATTTAAAGATTGTATTGGTACATCTTTATTGTTGGGAAAGAGTTAATTGGCAGGCTGTGGAAGTTTTATTTCTGATGGCTTGAATGCTTTTCTTTTACAAATTTTGTATATGATAAGGGTTTTTGTTTTGTGTGCAGAATGTTTTCCAACATTTGAGTTTAGTTTTCATTATTAGACGCTTGTGTTGTACTTTTTGTTTATCAAGCCTAGTTTCATCATTTAAAGCCTTATTTCATTTTTTTTCTTGTGATTTGGTTTTACTTTGTTCTATTCTAAGTTCAGATGTCCACCATTTTATTTTCATGGTTTTGTTTGGTTTAAAAATTTTTGTTACAACATTGTTACATTTTTATTGTTAAAAATCTTGGCAACTTCATTAACTTGAGTTAACAGCCTTTATCTTTTGATTAATTGGAAGTAGTTCTTTCTAATATCAGTGAATTTTTTGCATGAATCTTTTGTAATCGTATAGGGTTTGGTTGTAATATTTAAGTTCTGGTTTCCTATTTCAATAGTGAGAAATATATTTCAGTAGAGTCTTGTGGTAATGTGAGAGCTAAAATCCTTTCCTATAATATGAAAGTATTTGGGAAATTTATGATTGATTCAAATATTATATTCAAATAAGGATTTAGGTTTTCTTTTGGGGAGGAATATATGGAGGTAATTAAATGTTGCTGTTCTTTGTTATTTGAAGAAATTGTGACAGTGTCTCTATTTGTATAAATTAGAAGGGACTTTATTTTGGCATACTGTAACTGTTCTAGCCAAGATATTTTCTTCTATGTTGTATTAATAAATATTCCAGTTATCTGAAAATGCACAGACTTGCTTGCTAATGCAGTATGGATCTTGAATAGATTGAAGTTGTTTGATCATGTTTGATGAAAACATCAAAGTTTGGCTTCAGGTGGTAAAATTGTTCCAAACACATATCCAAGGAAAAAACAATGTTGCAAAGGTAAGATCTTTAATGTTAAAAGAAAATCTACCAAAACAAAGGACAGTTGCAAAATCATTAAAACTCTCAATATTAACTGTAAACAAATTGATTGATGTTCATTTGAGTCTTAAAAAATCTGCCTCATCTTTCTCCACAACCTATTGCCGAATGCACCACAGAATTCTTTACGAGAAGCATTTAGCTGGACAAAAATGAAAAAATGTTTCAATAAATGAATCTTGAATGTATTTAAATGACTGCAATAAAAAAGAGATGCATTTATTATCATCAAAGTGTGGGAATCTTAAATCATGGCTCAAAGAATCTAAAGAAATTTTTTCAAAGGGATTTAGGATTGTTGCTGGTTTTCATATAATATAATGGCAAATTAATAACAAATAGAGTGAAGAAAAATAAGATTAGCTACAGATATTATTAAGAACATATTTTACGCCTGATTTTCAAATATGAAACACCTTCTCTTTAACCATAATGCCGTCCATCAATAGAACTGCATCAAGACAAAGCAAGCAGCCACAAATCCACTGACTGCTAATTTCTTGGAAGAAATGGAACAATGTATAGGTATCAAGGCCATACACTTCACTCCTATCCCCACTAAATCTCTTGATGTTTATCGCCCATGAATTTTTGTGCACGAAGGCATGCTAAGAAGGCAAGGAGAAATACCTTAGAATTTTCAAATGTGTTCAATAATTTTCTGACATCCTGTATTAAATGTATAACCACCATCATCAATACTTTACTCTAATGTGTTCATAATGCAATTTATTAAAATAATGTATGAAGTTGTTAACTGTGGTTATTAAATGTGCTGTGTTTTACAAATTTTAAGTGAAATATTTAACTTAAAAAAATGTTCATTTATTTTCAAATCATCTAAAATTACCACTTGCAATTTTTTCTTCATGTAAGTTTAAACCAGCTTAGATGTAGAAAATTATTTCTGCAGTTCTTTAATATCCTTTTTAAAAATTAATTTGATTAAAAATTAAAACGAAATCTTGTCTTTGCAAATGAAATTCATTCTTAAAATTCAATAAGTGTTTTTTGTCTTAAAGTATATACTTATGGGCTTAGCTTGTCAATAATGTTATGTACTTTTTTTAAATTGCTTGTAAGGTATTTTAAGTTATTTATGGAAACTAGTAGAATGGACAATGCTTGAATTGCATTGTCCATTCTACTAGTTTCCATAAGTCGCTACTTGGAACTATCTAGTTTTTGAAAATTGACTTTCAGTTGTGTTTTTAACCCTGATGGTTTTTTTTTTTTTTTTTTTTTTTTTTTTTTTTTTTTTTTTTTTAATAATTAGTTGTATTTCTTGTAGGTTTACGAGGATGCCTCTTCTGTTTATCTCATAATGGAATTATTGCAAGGTGGGGAGTTGTTAGATAAAATTCTGAGTAAAAAGTATTTGAGTGAAAGAGAAGCAAGCTCAGTCTTAGAAGTCATTGCTAAAACTGTGAAGTATCTTCATGACAATGGGGTAAGGTTTTTCTAATTATACTTGAAGATTATATAAATTACCTAATATTTTATAAGCAGTTAGAATTTATAGATTTTTCCTAATTAGTACGTAATATAACGGGTGGCCAAAGTGCGGCTCGCGAGCCTGATATGGCTCTCACAGGCAATTTGTGTGGCTTATGCATATAAAATATATGTATGAAATATGGTAAACTAAAAATATTTAATGTCAAAAAGGAAGTAATTAATTAGTTTAGACTCATTTTACAAAGTCATTGGGGATTTCTTTCTATTTAAAACCTCCTCCACTACTTCTGTAATGATGTAAATATGAACTTGTGGGTTTTAGAAAATCTAGATGCAGCTCTCGAACATTTCTGAATTCAAACATGCAGCTCTTATTCTCATGAAGTTTGGCCAACTCTGTAATATAGTATACTAATTTTCCTGTTTGTCTTATAAATAATTTTCAGATTAGATCCATACTGAATAAAATTAGCTAATGTATATGAAGATTACTCTTGTTGAGTTTGACAAGATTATAAGCAGTTGGTTAGAATGCTCTGCTTGAATTGCATTGTCCATTCTACTAGTTTCCATAGGTTCTATACTTCTGACCAAAGAATGTTGCTTATAATGTGTTAACACACCATACCTTATATATCACAATTGTCATTGTTGTGTCATAGTGGTGTTCACACTTGCTAAAATCTTAGGTGGTTTAGATAAGCAATAGCTTCTTAGGTAAGGGTAGGCTTATGGAGACATTAGGTATTTTCTGGAAGCAGGAAAGATGAAAAATATCAGCGCCTTCATCAGGAATAAAACCACGGACCTCTGGAATATGCACCCAGTGTGCAGACCACCACACCAAGAAGGCGGGGGAAATACCCTATATACTTCCCCTTTTAAAGGGCGACGGCGGTTTTTATGGGACCCAGTCGCCAAGTCCTGGGTGAGGAGAATCATCATCCACCACCTTTTTAGTTCTGGTGCCACTGTGGAGACATTAGGTATTTTTTGGAAGCAGGCAAGATGAAAAATATGCAATGCCTTCGCCGGGAATCGAACCACACAGACCTCTGGAATACATGCCCTGCATGCAGACCACTACACAACGAGGGCACGCCAAGAAGTCGGGAGAAATACCCTATAGGCTTACGCTTAATACTTATCCTGCCTATATTTTCTGAGAAGTAAAGTGAGTACTTCATAGAAAATATGAAGACCCTTCTTTTTTTTCCCCCCCACTTTGTTCATGTTTCCTTTGCTTTTTTGTTTAAAAGAGTTTTGTTTGTTTGTTTTTGCCACTGCAGAATTTCATATATTTCCTGATTTTTAGCCCAGTGAAATTAAAGTGTCTTGGCTTTCTCAAACATAGCTTATTTTATAACATTAATATGGATGTCAGGTGAAGAAAGCACTTCAGAGAGTGGGAAATAATATTAGTTATTTACTCGTAATTGGTCAATCTTCTTTTCCCTTACACCTGCCTTGTGTATAAGTCATAGATTTAGAGCATTAAAACAAAACTCGTAATACCACATTTGCAAGATTTTTGTCTCTGTTTATGCAATAATGCAAATGTTATCTTATCTAAAATAGTTAAGCTGATGTTGTTATCACATTTTCATCAGAAAGATTCATTTGGCCTTTTTTTCCCCCTGAATTTCATGTAATTGTGGAGGAATGTTGTTTTGTAAATTTTAAGTTTGTAAAAATATATTAAAAAGTTGCATGTTTATATTAAATAATTTGTTCGTGGTTTAAAAAATTAGTTTTTTATTATTAATGTTTCAGAGTGAATACAGGAAATACAAGGGGAAAATTTTTTTTTTTCTTGTTTTGTCAGAGCGCTGCAGTTTTGCGGTCAGCTTTGTTTCTTATTACTATGTAGAAGGAAGTATAGTAGAACTTCATGTGTCTCGTCTAACCGTGATCACAGCATATTGAGTATTCACAAAGTCCAGATTTATTTATTTATTTTCCTGTTGGCCAAAAATAGATTTTATAATCTATTTATTTTTTCTATTTATAATCTAATTATTTATGAAATCTGTTGATCCTTTTTCTTTCAATGTAAATTCTCTAATAAAAGACTGAATAAAAATGAACGGGAAAAGCAAAATTAATGTAGGAAGTCATAAACTTGGGTCAAGTAGTCTTGAAAAAGCATGAATTTGAAGCAAAAGCTTTAAAAATCTATTTCTCCATGCCATGAAATTTATTCACACCTGAATAGAAATGCTAACAAAAGAAAATGACAGATTTTGGTTTGAAAACAACATGCTCTTGCATGAAGCTCTCTGAAGATGAGGTTTTGCCACCCTACCCCCAAATGCTCTTGTAGAAATTTGTGCTTGGTAAGGATAGATATGAATCATATCTAAGATTATTAAATACAATTATGTAACAGATACTTTTATGAGTTACTTAACTCTTTTAATAAGCATATATTATGTATTGCTGCATGGTGAAAGGAAAAATATTTTGTGTGAGTGTGTGTGCACATTTGAAAGGAAAAGAGTTTTGTTCTTTTGTTTACTTATGGAGCACCTTTTTTTTTTTTTTTTTCACTCGGTCTTTGTTGTATAAGATACTTACTTGCATAATACAGCATCTTTTTGTGATCTAATGATTATATTATATGGGGGGTTACCTTGCAACACTTTTAATGCATTGGAATACCCAAAGTGTGGGTATTTAATTATTTAGTAATTAAAAGTGTATATTTGATGAAGAAATAGTAAATGAGTGTGACAATGTTTTAAATGAATTCTGTTTTTCATTGCAAAAATCTGACTTTTAATACTGTTTTATAATCAATATTTATTTTTCTGGAATATTACAAATAATTTCTGTTTTAAGGCAACGTGTGCCAAACAATTTTTTTTATAAAAATGTTATTACTTTTTTCTTAGCTGGGTGTAAATGTCATCAACAGTGGATTTTTTTCATTTTGGCTGTGGCACACCATTGCCATCCATTGTTAAAGAACTGAAACATCTGCATCAGTAGAAAAATGAAACAAAAATAATATTCACTCATATAATTTAAAGCACAAAAAAGAAAAAGTTTGTTTTAGGGATAAATTATGCCTTAAAAACATTTAATATGAACATCAAAGCAGTGTTTATAACATACATGTGAAGAAATACTGCTGAAACCAACATCCCCAAAATACAGTTTCAGTTGTGATTTTTTGCATGAGTTGCATTAGTGGGCATTTCAGAGCTTCTTGCTCTGTTATAGACAAGTCTCATTATTTCATCATTAATTAAGTGTATTGGAATCCTGGAAAGTAATCAAACATTCATTGGTTGTCAATAACCTGTGTTTAAAGTGGTTGAAGTGTCAAATATAACGATTGAAGCACAATATTCAATGCCCATAGCCCCATGAAGGGGGAAAAAAAAAAGGTATTTAACTTGCGGTACTGAAAGAGGGCAATTCATAGTTATCACGAAAAGCTCGTTACATCAGATCGTGGACTCTTGAAGAGAGAGAGTTTGGAAAATAAAAGGAGGAGATCATTTTTAGAATCGGAGTGCCATTTTGCTTTTTCTTCAATGAGTAACATTTTGTGAACATGCAGCTAAGGATGCAGATATTTCCTTTAAAAAAAAAATGCATCTTTCTGTTTCATGATTAATATGATTCATATCCTTTAAAAACATGCATCTTTCTGTTTTGTGATTATATTAGTATGATTCTGACACAATATTTGGCAATTTATCGCTTATGCCTAACTAAAGGTAAAGTACCAAAAATTCCTCTGTTGACTGATAGTTTACCGAGTCATACTTATTTGCATGAATTTATGTAGATGCTGGATTAAAATCAGAAACTCAATCAAACAGATCTTAGCCAACAATGCTGTCCATTGGCCAACTTTTTTAAGATTGCTGTTTTTTAATTGTACTGGCATCTTCAGAATAAATGTTGCTTGTAACATGATTTTAAAGTGTGCCATTCTGCTTTAGTTCTTTGTTTACTGAAATAGCAAGCTAACCTAAGAGAGAAATTTTTTTATGTTGATTAAGATTTTACTCCCATTTTGATCTTTCTACAAGTAGAAAAGATTAATATTACTAATCAATTATTGCATCAGCAAACTAGAGCTGAGAAAACTTCAGCTAAAATCAGTTTCAACAATTCAAATATTTGTTGTAACTGACATTTTTTATGATGTTGGTTTGCAAACAAGGTACCTTATTCTCATTTTAGGAAATATGAGACATACATTGTTTCAATATTCATTTGCTTTGAAAAAGGTAACAAAACATTAGATATTTAAAATCAAATATATCACTATCCCTTTGTAAAATTTTTTTGAAGATCAAGTAAGTCTTTTGCTGAATACTTTTTTGTATGAATGTTTGTGCTTCTTTATGAATTTTTTTATGAATTATATGTTCTGCTGCTTTTAGTTAGATTACCACTTTATTTTGTAGAAGCATGGTAGAGATCTGTTAATAAAAGTGATGACTATTTTTATTCATGCTGCATGACTTTCATAATGTATGTGGCTGAATGACTCATAAAAAATGGCTCTTTTAAGGAATACTTCTGTTTTGACGTATTGTCAGTTTTACCGACCAACGTAACCATTTTTGTATGCATGCTTTTTGTTGTATTTTGTTATGGTTTGTATGGACAAATCTTGATTGTTTTTTAAAGCTTAAATATGTGCTTACGAGATTTACTTACAATAGAGAAGAAACTGAGGTAATATTTCTGCTGGAATGCAGTATTGTTAAATCACTAAACAATTAAAAGCGAATGCCATGAAATTTCCAGTAGAACAAGAGAGACTAAAACCTGCCTGTAGGTAGGTTTATTGATTGTATTTGGAATTGAAGTACAAAATATATATTTAATAATCATTGTTAATTTTCTTTTGTAAAGTTCATCGTACTGTGACAGGGTGATTGCATAAATACATAATTACCAAATTTAATAGATTATTAAATTAACTAAGTAAATCATTTTTATTTATGTATTCTTAATTATTTGTATTTATTTTCATATTTAAAAATTTTAGTGATGCCTTTTCAGAAATAAATAAGTAGCGAAAACAAATAAAAGCAGCAGATCGCATAATAACATCATTACCATTTTGGGGGGGGGGTCTGTGTGTGTTTGGTTTAGATTAGTAGAAATTAAAAATATGTTAATTTATTTATTATTAATTTTTTGTTAATGTGTTGCCTATGGTTTGTCACATGTTCTTAAGCATTTAAATATTCTGTTACAGGTTGTACATCGAGATTTAAAGCCATCGAATATTATGTATGCCGATCAGTCAGGAAATCCTGAGTCTTTAAGAATATGTGATTTTGGATTTGCTAAGCAAATACGGGCCGAAAATGGCTTGCTGATGACTCCATGTTACACAGCTAACTTTGTTGCTCCCGAGGTCCTAAAAAAGCAAGGCTACGACGAAGCATGTGATATATGGAGCATGGGTGTTTTATTATATACAATGCTTGCAGGGTATTTTATGTTAACAAATTGCTCTAGCAAATTTCTTTAAATGTGTATCTTTTTCATGAAATTAAATGTGTTATCTATTTTTTAGTCATACTCCATTTGCTTATGGACCATCCGATAAGACGAATGAAATTTTGTCGAGAATAGGTGAAGGTCGCTTTGATTTAGCATCAGGAAACTGGGTTAATATAACTACAGCTGCAAAAGTAATTTGATAGTTTATTTCATTTTTGATATTTATGATTCAGATTAACAGGCATTGTGTTAACAATAATGTTTTCCCCTACCTGTCTTAAGTATTTTTGAGTTTTGAAAGTGAAGTTTGCATTTTTTACTTAAATTAAAATTATTATTTTTAAAATTGTTATTTTATTAGGAAATGAATTAAATGTATGCCACATTTTGTAACTACATGTATGGTGCCATATTTTGAAGTATGGTTCATATTAAGTCCACTGCGGTGAAATAATTATTGTAATAAAATGAGCTACAGGAATTTGTTTTCTCAAAAGTTCTAGTTACTTTGTACATTATTTGTGTATAGAGCAGTAAAACTTTTGAATTTTCTTTCAGGGTGTTTAAAAGTCTTAATTTTTGTAGTTGAAAAGTTTTTTAAAAAATTTAAATTGGTTTTTAGTTTTTAAATCAATTTGTTATGTGCAAGTTTATAGCTTAATTCAATAGTAATTGATGTAGCAGTTTACAGTTTTTGTGAGCGAATGCTAGCCAAAGCTGATTAATATCACAATCAAGACTCAAACTTAAAAAAAAAAAAAAAAAAAAAAAGCTGTAAATAAATGAATTATTATAAGATAGATACTTAAGCTTTAAAGAAATAAAAATAGAAAACTGAGCTGAAGCTTCATAGCTTATGCACATGTTCACAACATTTTATTCTTGTATTAATTCACATATCATGCTAATGATGAACATTACCATATTGTGAATAAATAAAAATTAGAGCTTTGAACTTTTTACAAGCTTTTTTCGCTTTATTTTTTGTGTACAAGGTAAAATTTTGAAAAAAAATTTTGTTTCGAGAAAGTGTCTTAGCTATGACCGATAGTGTAGTGACGCTTAGTTCCTTTGCTATCTTTTAATGCAGATGTAGATTTCTACCACTGTAATGCAGTCTTTGTCAAGTTTTTTCATCAAACAGTGAGCCATTCAAGAATGATTATCTAGATGTAACACACTTTTTAACTGGAGTATCTAGAGTATGCACTTTTTAACTGGTGTCTGCCTGCAGTTTTTATAAAAATTCCTCAGCTTTCTTCTTATAAGTAGTTAATAAGAAATACAAAATATGCTGGTTTTAACAACTCTTCGATAACTGGATTTAGTCATATGTTTAAAAATCATTGTAATTCAAATCCCTTTATAGGAAGCAAGGCTGGCTCACATATTAAGTTCCTCTGTAATAAAGTGGCACCACTTCTGGCTTTAGTCGCCAAGCCAAAGTCGGCTGAGGGCTCATCACTGGGGGGGGGAGAATGTGTAAGAATGCACAGTATCTGCAAAGTAAAAGAAGGGAGTGGAGAAGGTATTACTATATGTGCTATAAGGAGGAGGTAAAATTAATGATGAAGTAGCTGTTTGCTTTTTCTTATTACCTCTCATCTTACCTTTTTTTTTTTTTTTATCTTACATATAGCACTTAGTACAAAAAATGTTGCATGTTGATCCAAAGCAGAGGTATAAAGCAGCAGATGTTTTAAATCATGCATGGATAATCAACAAAGATCAACTTCCTAATTGTCAGCTGGCACTACAAGAACCTTCTATTGTTAAGGTATTTATGTACTTTTAAAAAATATTTTAAAACCTGATATTAAAATTGATATTGGCATGCTTGCTTCATGTACCTATCATTATGCAGTACAAAGTCCGAAATCCGGATGTGGATTATCCGGAATGATCTAAAATCCGGACCTCAAAACCACTAACAACGTTTTCTTGTAGGCTTTACGCATACACATTTGATTTCCCCCTCCGCGCATAATAAAATATCTGGAGAGTCCGATTCTTAACTTCAAGGCTAAATAAAATACCTTGTTATTGAAGAAACAGTTATTTTAGCATAAATTTGTACGATCAATAATTTGCCTTCGTTGCTGCATATCTGCTTGCCGTACATCTCAAACCGAAACATTCCACATAGATACATCGTTAGTCCGATGCCAACTGGTGCATCATTATTTATTATCTTTCCTTTATCACCCGCATGTTATAAAACATGACAAATTGAGATTGATAGTAGCAATGCCAAACGATTTTTTTATGTTAGTGATGAATATAAGGATGGTAACCTTTAGGTTGACATTATGTTGGTGAATTACGATAGTTAAATTCGCTAAAAAATTGAGGGGAATCATCTACAAAAAATTTCTTTCCATATTCTAAAAAACATTTTGTTGATGATACTCATAGACCCAAAGATTACATTTAGGGCTATTTGAATTAAGACTGTTTGTTATTCACAACTGATTTGTTATTCATATAAGCCCAGAACCAGCGCCAGGGCTCGTATGGCCGCATTGATTCGCAGAATTTAGGATCCACAGAGACTGCATCAGGTGGTAATTTATCTAGCGCCGACCCTCAATAAGACTTAAGTATATGGTGGAAATTTATTTATAAATTGCCTCAGTGCACAATAGAAGCAAGATAAAATTTAACAGAACAACTTGTTAGTTGCCATATATGTTTAGTACCCTATATGATGCATAGCCAAATATGTTTAGTGAAGAATAGCTAAATTTAATGATGATAGCCACTAATTTTAAAGGTTTTTGGATATGGAAAAACAAAGGTGAATTTTCCCAATTAATGGATTTTATAAAGAAATGTGGAGAAGTGGTAATAA